AGTATCATAAATAAAGCCCCAGCAGCATCATAAGTAAAGCCCCAGCAGCATCATAAATAAAGCCCCAGCAGTATCATAAGTAAGGCCGCAACAGTATCATAAATAAAGCCCCAGCAGCATCATAAGTAAGGCCGCAACAGAATCATAAGTAAAGCCCCAGCAGCATCATAAGTAAGGCCGCAACAGTATCATAAATAAAGCCCCAGCAGCATCATAAGTAAAGCCCCAGCAGTATCATAAATAAAGCCCCAGCAGCATCATAAGTAAAGCCCCAGCAGTATCATAAATAAAGCCCCAGCAGCATCATAAGTAAAGCCCCAGCAGTATCATAAGTAAAGCCCCAGCAGTATCATAAGTAAAGCCCCAGCAGTATCATAAGTAAAGCCCCAGCAGTATCATAAGTAAAGCCCCGGAAGCATCATAAGTAAAGCCCCGGAAGCATCATAAGTAAAGCCCCAGCAGTATCATAAGTAAAGCCCCAGCAGTATCATAAGTAAAGCCCCAGCACCGCCATATGCTGAGGCTCCAGCACCACGGTTGGTGAACCTCCGCACTACCACTGGTAAGGTCCCAGCAGCACCACAGGTAAAGTCCCAGCAGCACCACAGGTAAAGCCCCAGCAGGACCACAGGTAAAGTCCCAGCAGCACCACAGGTAAAGTCCCAGCAGCACCACAGGTAAAGCCCCAGCAGGACCACAGGTAAAGTCCCAGCAGCACCACAGGTAAAGTCCCAGCAGCACGACAGGTAAAGTCCCAGCAGCACGACAGGTAAAGTCCCAGCAGCACGACAGGTATAGTCCCAGCAGCACCACAGGTAAGGTCCCAGCAGCACGACAGGTAAAGTCCCAGCAGCACCACAGGTAAAGTCCCCAGCAGCAAGACAGGTAAGGTCCCAGCAGCACGACAGGTAAGGTCCCAGCAGCACGACAGGTAAGGTCCCAGCAGCAGCACCACCACAGGTAAGGTCCCAGCAGCACCCCAGGTAAGTTCCCAGCACAACCCGGGTCCCAGCTGCACCACAGGTAAGGTCCCAGCAGCACTTCAGGTAAGTTCCCAGCACAACCCGGGTCCCAGTAGCACCACAGGTAAGGTCCCAGCTGCTCAACAAGTCATCAGGGCAGCCAACACAGGGTTTGCCTTCGCTGAGAGCTTGAGGAACCTTCAACATTGCACTATTGTTGACACATTTTCATGCCAGTCTTCTAACGCGTTAATCTGTTGATACTATGTTAAGCTATAAAATAATAAATAAGTATTTTGATCAGCATAACTAATTATTTAATGAAAATAGATAATTAAGTGTACAGTACGTATCATTTTACAACGTTTGCAAGGAAATTTCTATATTGATTTGCAGATATATCTTCCCTGGATCGCATGACGTCAGTGGATTTTAATTTCGCTGAAGCCATTATTTTGTTCGTCAATTACCTAAAAACCAATTTGCAGATAAAACTAGATTATAAGAAAGACAGATCACATCGTTCTCCTTAAAAGTCATTTATGTGCTTGATAATATTAGCCACTGGTAATCGGTGTAGCCTATCCTTAGTCAAGCAAAAGAGACGCGATACCTTCATCTACCACCATCGCTTTTATTTTCACATCTACCAAAACTTTTGCTATCACCACTGCTTCCGTCCATCAAGTCATGTTAACCTCCGCCACCATACTAGGCCTGTTGCTAGAACCATCATCGCAACCAAACAACAACCTGTTGGACCAAGCTCTCACAAGTCAAGAGCCGGGCTTGGGGAGAGCTCCCAGAACCCCCATCCAGGTATAATCCTGGTTAACTTGATCATCTTGCTCATCCTTCCTTGTTACTTTCCTTCCTTCGGAAGGTATCCAGGTACAACCACAAGTCGCTTTGACTGCCTCCACCATACTAGGCTTATTACCACCATCACCGCAACTATAAGTCATTTTGTCCACCGCTACGAGGCCTAATATTTCCACCATCACCCTAACTACCACTATCACTCTGGCCGCCACTCCCACTACTACCACCATCTTCACCACCACTAAACATCCATCAATATTCAATATTATGCATTACCAGGCAGGAATGTGATGGTCATATTTCTTGATACTTTGAAAGCCTATGAAAAAATATAATTCGCAAAATTTATCAAAGAATTACGAAATCATAACGACTGACAGTACTGCTCGTCCCCCATGTATACAGATGACTTCAAATATATTATGCGTAGTCGGAGTTCTCGTGTGCAAATGGGCTGAGAACAAAAAAGGAACGGGTTTGATTCCTCCTCCCTGTTCAATATACTCTTCAACCCACTAAGTGAAAAGAGTAAGGAAATTAGGGTTGGTTGTCATGGTGACATGTAAATATATTTTCGAGTATCAAGCTGGCCTAATGTTACCCGGACTCTTACCCACTGACCGCGAGACAAATATTTTACCTGAATGTACTTGAGCGTCACTAACTCTAGTGGTTTCGACGGGGACAGGAAGCCGGCTACGTGTTCTTGAGACTTTAAAATTGGGGCTAATATTATTATAAAGTAATTCAATCCTTGAGACAAAGTCCATGGCAGAGCTACTCAGTGGTCAACATCTGTTTATATAGCTGCGACCCGCTGAATATTACCAATATCACTTTGAATAAACTGTACTAAGCGTGGAGACATTGTTGTGACGCACTTACAGGGAGACTCAAGATACACTTGGGAGACACACTTGGAAAGCTCAACACACTTGGTAGGTCCAAGATACACCGGAGACTCAAAACCCACTTGGGTAGCTTTGCTTGTACTCACAATGGTCTTATTCCTACCTTGAAAACATCACCTTCCTTAGAGACAAGTCATCACATACTGTTAACTTCAAACCGCGAAATTTATCATCCAATCACATGTTAATAACTCTTTCCCCTGTATTCGATCTCCGCAAATATATTACTAAATATTTACAATTTAGGTTTTTACGTTTTAAAAAAAAATCATTGCTTGTGAGATAAAATTATTCAAAATTTGTCTGGCGGGACATTAGTTTTGTAAATCTGATCTCATCACAGTTCATTACTTACAATAAGGGACAGACAACTGGTCTTCAATTTTGATGTGGCAGATAATTGTTGTCGTCACTACATGTTTAAGGCGAAGTGTCACAGTGATGGTTTCCCATTGTTGAGGACGGGAACCCTATTATGGTTATCGAGGTCCAATTAGGCCAACGACTTACCATTCCCCGGAACCTATTTACTACAAGGTAAACAAAGGCATCAGGTAAAAGGAAATGTCGTCAAACGTTTCGTCCTGCAACACGGAAGGATTCTCCTTTGTATTTATACCGAAATAATCATTTATAAATAATCATCCTTTGAACGCGATCAGTAACCATCACTAACGACTCTTCATCTGTAATCAGTTACAATAGGTCCTTTAAATGCTAGCAGTGATTTATAGTCCTGACAGCAACAACAGCTTGCAATAGTGCATTAACTTTCAACTGCAAATGAAAGCGCTAATCTAGACCCCTTCTTATCAATGCATTATAATGCTATAAACAGCATCTTACAGAGCTACAAGAACCAGCAGCAGAAGATGTAGGGCTATCATCTACACATTCTATTGTTGACAGCAAGAACAGCGCCATCCAGTGGCGGCAACAGCGCCAAGTATTAATAGCAGCAGCAGAACCTAGTCCTAATAGCAGCAGCAGAACCTAGTCCTAATAGCAGCAGCAGAACCTAGTCCTAATAGCAGCAGCAGAACCTAGTCCAAATAGCAGCAGCAGCACCTAGTTCTAATAGAAACACAAGCATTTAGTACTAATAGTAGCAACACCTATTTCTAAACGCAACATCAACACTTTAAAAGAGCTACTAGAAACAACTAGAATTCATAAGCATCACCACTCAGCGCTAGCAGTTTCACCAAGAGCAACTTTATTCACTAGGAGCAGCAGCAGCGACACCACCTGTGAGTGCTAGCAGCAGCTGTGCTGATGGAGTGTGCCGCCTGGAGCAGTTGGTCAATATTTACCCAGCTGCGGTCATATGTCACCATCTGAGTTGGCCCCTCCCCTCTTCCAGCTAGCCTATCCTTCATAACCCAGTCTTGCAGTTTGTATCGCTTTCAAATAAGGCCTTAACCCCTAGTATTTCTCTTTGGACAGCGCCTGCTTTCCCGACTAACAAATCGTATTCAGTCCTGTTATGGCGTAAATGTTAAAATTGGTAACTAGTTCAGGCAGAACTTGAGATATATAATAACTAAAGCGGAACTGAGGGAAGGGTGGATAGGCATACAGCAGGCAGGCAGATAGGCCTTTTGGCTTTCATGTCCTAGTGCATTGCTGATGATGAATTAGTAAACAAGATTATATCAGATCCTACAAGACTCAAGGGATTCCACGTTCCTAAGTTTATTCAAGAGGTCAATCACTAGGAGGACGAATTAACTAGTTAACTAGAAACTAACTAGAAATTTATTTATTGAATTTGTTTACCTAATAAAAGTTTTTTGATGATTTAAATTTCCTTTAATATTTTTGCAATTTGTGGCACAAAGGGGGGTCTGTTAATTTGTTTTTTTCCATGCAGTAGCTGGGGCCAGATTCACGAAGCAGTTACCACCAGTAAACAATGGACTACGAGAGGATTATCCTGTGTAATCTGAGGCATATTGTGTCGCCCAGTAGTTTCCCATCGCTGTGTAACAACCATTGTTACCATGCCATCTTTTATTTTATCGTTCGAAAATATTAAACAAAAAAAATCTTTCGGAACTTTGATCAATAAGAATTAGTTAGGTATCAGACAGGCTTCCAACTGTTTTCGTTCTTCGCCAATTAATTTCGAATAACACTGAATTGTTATTAACGTGAAAATTTAATCAAGAATTCCAAGTGACCGTCACACACGCGATATAATAATTACCTTTATTTTATTCTGAAGTCAGCGCGGACTGGAGCTAAAATGTACATAATGCAATTCCGCCAAACAATGTATGTGCTTGAGAGTAGGCCTACTCACCGACTGTGGAGATGTACGTGTCATAATACCTCTCGTCGCAAAACCTATGGACTAGGCACGTCTTTCCTACGTTCACATCGCCGATAACCAACACCTTGTACGTGGCTGTGAAGTCGACAGCCATGACTGCGAACGGCCGAGGTACTGCCTCCCCGACCACACACACACTGACTCACTCCTTCCTATTGATCCACCATCCCCTGCTCCTACCACGGCCCCCCCCCTCACTCCCCCCGCCACCACCAGCTGGGGGGCACGGCTCCCCGTCACCACCAGCTGGGGGCACGGCTCCCCCGTTACCATCAGCTGGGGGGCACGGCTCCCTCGTCACCACCAGCTGGGGGCACGGCTCCCCCCGTCACCACAAGCTGGAGGGCACGGCTCCCCCGTCACCACCAGCTGGGGGGCACGGCTCCCCCGTCACCACCAGCTGGGGGCACGGCTCCCCCGTTACCACCAGCTGGAGGGCACGGCTCCCCCGTTACCACCAGCTGGGGGCACGGCTCCCCCGTTACCACCAGCTGGAGGGCACGGCTCCTCCGTTACCACCAGCTGGGGGCACGGCTCTCCCCGTTACCACCAGCTGGGGGGCACGGCTCCCCCTTTCACCAGCTGGGGGCACGGCTCTCCCGCCACCACCAGCTGGAGGGCACGGCTCCCCCGTTACCACCAGCTGGGGGGCACGGCTCCCCCCGTCACCACCAGCTGGGGCACGGCTCCCCCGCCACCACCAGCTGGGGGCACGGCTTCCCCGTCACCACCAGCTGAGGGCACGGCTCCCCCCGCCACCACCAGCTGGGGGGCACGGCTCCCCTGCCACCACCAGCTGGGGGCACGGCTCCCCCGCCACCACCAGCTGGGGGCACGGCTCCCCCGCCACCAACAGGGGGGGGGGGGCAAAGCTTTACAGCCTCACTAGTTGCAAAATATTTTTTCCGCGAAACACCACTACCGTATCCAGCATGATTTTATTTGGTGAATTTGGACACCTTGACGATGATGGTATAAAAAATGGGAAGATGGAAGAGAATAGGAGAGGGACAGGGAAGGAAGAAACGGGAGAGGATGGATGGAAGAGGGATAGAGTGGAAGAGAGGGGGGCGGGGGTTGGTGATTAAGGTTAAGCTCGTTAACCTTAGACCTTTCTTAAATGTGGCTCTCTCATTCACACAAACATCTTAGGTACCGTCAGAGATTTTTATTCTACGATAAACAAGCCAAAGAAATAGTTAAATAATTCAGACATTTAATAATAATTTTGACTAATGAACCAGCTATGACTCAAAATATTTATTTACGAAACGTTAAGCTCAAGGTAGGAACCAATTATATTCAAAGAGATGGGGGTACCCGGCTGTGCCCGGGTCTCTCTGCCTCGCCACATTTCTATCCCTCGCTCAGAAAACGTACTAATGCGAAACACCGAAGAAACTGCTACATACCTATGGGGAAACACTTCCTCTATTTCAGACTTGACTTCATGAAATTCAGAGGAGGGGAGGGGGGGGGGGAGAGAAAGATGCCGATATTTCTTTAAATGTGGCACTGGGGGCCAACCCCGACTGGTCTATGACACTCACGCCCCCTATGCGCCATCTTCAAAAGCTGGGCAAGGCCGATGAAAGAGGTCAAGCGGCCTCAGATAGAGACAAACACGCTCTCTTTTTTTGGACATATTTAAGTTAGTAAAGTTTCCTAAAGTAAACCTTAAGAAACCTATATAAAGAGAATTTGAGTTAACATAATTACTGCATATAACAACAGTAATAAAATTAGATGGTGATAAAGATCAGCTTCATTGATGCTTTTAACTGTTTAACAGGAATTATTGGCAGACTATTTAAACAAAATGTATGTATTTGTTGCTAAGCCCTCCATTACCACATGCTTAAGAGACCCCAAAGATAAAACAATCCTTCATTATTCTTAAAGAAAAACACAAATACAAATATTAAACCTTATATATGCAAAGGCGAAAGCAAATAACTCCTAGTAATTAAAACACTTTTCTTGCAGTATATCGAGTGACTGTTTATATATAATACCTATAGCGCATAGGCCTGCGTCCTCGGCTCACAACCGAGGGAGGTTTCCTGGCTGAACAGAGTCGGCCACGCTTCCTTTCATCTGATGCCTCTGTTCACTTAGCAATCAATAAACATATATCCGGGAGTATGGTAACAGTTATAAGTTGCAGCCTAGGGAAGGGAGGAAATTATCAGGAGAAACCGCCAAGCCATTACAACTATATAGCAACTGGGAAGGGATCAGGATAAGGATTTGGGATGGGACCGGGAAGGAAGGAATGGTGCCCAACCACTTGGACGGTCGGGGATTGAACGCCGACCTGCATGAAGCGAGACCGTCGCTCTACCGTCCAGCCTAAGTGGTTGGGTTGTAGCCTAGGGAAGGTCATCTGTAGTTGCCCTGGGCGAATCCCGATAAGCCTAACACGCTTTTTGTACTCGACTATGGGAAATCAAATGAAAATAATTTTAATTTAAAATTTTAATTATAATATAATTTAAATCCACGGAACTACGTAGTCCCCGGTGGCGTAGGGGTAAGACACTCGCCCGGCGTTTTGCGAGAGCTCTGTCCTGGGTTCGTATCCTGGCCTGGGAGGATTGACTGGGCGTCAATCCTGTAACTGTAGCCTCTGTTTACCCAACAGTAAAATGGATACCTGGTTGTTAAACAATTTGGCGGGTCGTATTACGGGGAACACAGGATTAAGGATTTGCCCGAAACGCTATGCGTGCTAGTGGCTGTACAAGGATGTAAGAACTCTTGTATATGTAAATAATAAACAAAATAATATGCTCTTAATTTCTTGATTATTATATATTGCATTTTCATCAACACCAGTAGAAAATCAATTACATTGATCGGTAGCTTACTAAAATAAAACCAGTAAAATAGCCTCATTAATGTATCTTTTCACATCACATGATGGTTTAAATAGTCTATTAATTTAAATAGACTTTTATGAACATAACCAATTAAAAAGAATGGCTGACAATTATAGTATTTTGAAAATAATTTCTGTAGATGGGAATGGGGGGGGGGCTATAAATATCTAAATCAAATACAGTACTTGCGACTACCTGCATTAGTTTTAAATATCCTCCAAGTTTAGCTAAAACTTTAATGTTTTTTATAATGTCGTAAAGAAATGCGGCAAAGTAAACAATTTCTAGCGAATAGTCCGTCAGTCGACAGTTAATACTGTCGAAATGGGGGCCATACATTCCTGCCCGAAACGCTGCGCGTACTAGTGGCTTTACAAGAATGTTATTACTATGCTATATATCCTCACAATCCCAATGTACCTTCTTGTATATATAAATAAATAAATAAATAAATAGTAATGGTGCCGCCTCAACGATCACAAAGACAGTGAGGCTCACCTCCAGTCTGAGGTCTTGGAAGTCTTATTCGTAACTTTCTAGAAGCTCGACTGGTTGACTGTCGAAGTCTTCTTGCTGCCTGAGAGGGTTCTAGGAACTCGAAGTCCTGAGAGCGGGGCTTGAAACAGTTATTACTTCCTGGAGGTGCGGGTGTCTACTGACGGAGGCGCACTGCCCACGGCGTTCCTGCACGGCGGCTCAGCCGTGCCTTCGGGAATGACCTGGAAGGAGGGAATGCATCAAGAGGTGTGCTCGTTCATTCCTGCTACCAATCATCCAGTTTGAGCCGGCATACCATCATTGCCTGTTGCTGCTGCTGGTGACATTTTACAAGATAATATACCCAAATCTGTAACAGTAAAGAAGTTTGGAATCCAAGAGACATATCCGGGGCTATGGAACATTAATGATGTAAAATTAATGAATGTGAATGTGATGAAAATTAATGTGATGTAAAATCAACTTAATTTCTATGTTCTCTGTTAACCCCCAATGTATCTTCTTGTATATAAATGAATAAATAAATAGATAGATAAATTATACTAACCCAAAACATTACTGGATTTTTAGTGGGCCCTCGTCATATCAGAATCATGATAGAAATCTTTCAAACTCACGCAGAGTGAATAAAACAGCTGGAGTAGAGAATATGAAGGCAAGGCATTTATCAGGCAATGTGTTCAAACGTGAACTGCGGAATGGCGAGTATGTAAAACATGAACGGCTACTCTATTCACTGTCCCAAGGTTGTGTGTAATACTTTGCATGTCGCCTATTGTCTAAGAAAGAATCTCCCTTTGCTACATTGGAAGTTCAATGACTGGAAGCACAGCAATGTTATTGTAGAACATGAAAATGGAGAAGAACATCGAAAGTGCATGACAACATATTTGATAAGGCATAAAGAAGCTGATTCTTTATTACTGGAGCAACATTGCTCAGAGGACACACGATGGTCAGCACATTTTGATGCTGTTCTTGCTCTGTATGGGGGGTTTCGAGAAAATAAAACATGCACTGGATTCTCTATCAGCTGACAATGAACAGCAAGTGAATACAAGGCGAGGGGCGGAAGGATTGAGCAAAAAAAAAATGAAAATATGGAAACAATCTTTCTCAAAATTCATTGGAATTACATGCTAGAAAGAATGAACAAAACAAACAAGTTCCTGCAATCAAAGGATGTGAACATCCTTGTTGCCACAAATCTTCTTAAGTCTATGAAAACTTATCTTCAGGAAACTAGAGAAAAATTTAGTGAATATGAATTCAAAGCCAAGAGTATGTGTTTAAATAGATTAGTAATGGGAAAAACGGGAACGAAAACGAAGTGTGCGTCTTCTAAGAAGTACTTCTCATTAAAAACGAAAAATTCAAGGTGGAAATTTTCCTCCCTATTCTGGCCACTCTAATCTTTGAACTGACAAAACGTGCAGAGGCTTATTCATAAATTTGTTAATCTCTTTTATTTCTTCAGTGAATTAAAAATCATTGCTTCTGATGCACCAAAGACAAAATGTGAGCATCTGGCTAAAATGTATCACAAAGAATTATGATGACCTTTTAAATGAATGTGAGCATCTCAAGCACCACATGGCTCTTGATGAAAATTGTGACTCTCTGCACTGTTCAGAAAAATAATTTTGGACAATTTGAAATCTGTATTCCCGAATGTTGAAATTGCACTCAGAGTGTTCATGTACATAGTGACCAACTGAACAGGAGAACGTTCTTTTTTAAGACTAAAAATTATAACAAATCTGCTTCGTAGCACAATGGGGCAGCATCATTTGAACTGACTTTCACTCATATACATGGAAAATGGCATCCTGAAGACCATTGACTTCAAACCAATACTAAAGCAATTATCTTTAAAGAAATGCCGTAAATACTTGTTATAATAAGTTCGTAGTAATTTCATACTGTGCCATCTAATTTGTGTAGCTTACCGAGTATTATTGTTTTTTCAAGCCTTGTGTATTGTTCAAATATTTATAACGTTGATTAGGTGCTGCTCTATAGCATGTTTTTAATGTTTTATCACCAGTCTTTTTGGCTTGCCAATAAAATAAATGTACTGTATGTTAAATATTATCGACCTTTACTAATGCTGTTAAGTTAGCCCTGAGGACAATATGCAGTTCTGAAAGTAAGATGCAACAGGTCTCTGCTCCATTAAGTGCCCATTAGTTAATCTAATATAGCCAAAGTATAAAAAAATGGCGCCAAACACGGAAGACTTCCACTTCATGTTACGGTGACAGGAGGAAGGCCACGGGAATAGGTCACATTACCTTACCTTGAGGTGATTCCGGGGCTTAGCGACCCCGCGGCCCGGTCGTCGACCAAGCCTCCTCGTTGTTGGACTGCTCAACCAGGCTGTTGGACGCGGCTGCTCGCAGCCTGACGTATGAGTCACAGCCTGGTTGATTCCACAACCACATTTGATAGTTGCGATGAATATCATATTGTTTACTAACCTATATTTATATATCTCTCCAATGGGTAAAATTTTATTTTATTTCTTAATGTATAAATTTTATTTCTCCTTAAGCTACGACGGAGCGAGTCCCAAACGCCCCAGGAAAAGAGTACTTATACCCTGAAATGCAAGGGTAGTTCTTACAGGGCATCTAGCGAAGGTCACCCTAGGTGCACGCAGCCCCGCGTATAAAGAACACCTGGCCTCCATACCACCCACTCTGCTAGTACAGTACAGCCACACACGGCAAAATCCAGAACAGGAAGGCGAGGCCTGAGGTGACATCTAACAACCAGGCACATCAGTCAAGAACTGAAGGGGTGAGCTGAACGAGTGAATGCGCATAGTTGGAAGAGGTGTTGCATTTTTTTTTTGAGGTTGTTATTTTGCTCTGTTTGGACATAGGTTGCAATTTTCACCAGTTGGAGGTTTATATTGTTTTGCCTATCTTCCTGGGTGCCCTCCCCAGTCGATGGAAAGTATGACATACTCTAAATGTTGAGTGCTTATAGGCCATTGCTCCCTGTGCCTCTCTGAAGGAACCAGGTGGTTCCCTCAGAGAGCTCGTGGTCTTTGGTAGGCATAAAGAACTCCTGTGACTGATGGCCCCAAACTAATATGGAACATGTCAGTTTGGATAGCTTCAGGGAGCAAACTGAATTTTTTGTGGGGAGCCCCTCCCCACATAAAAAAATTCCTACAATTGATTCAGCTGAACCACACTAAATCTCCTGTTTTAGTCCTATCCACCACTAAAGAAGCATGTTACTACCCTAAGAACTGCATGCTTTCTGGGCAGATTAAACTTTCAGAAGTAACAAAATGAATAATACTTATATGGTTAACATGCATGATAAAGAAAAATGTGAAACCTTCAGTGACCTATATTTTAGTCTCATTTATTATTTTACGGCAGAAGAGGAGCTTTATAAGCCAACCTCAATATATCTCTAGATCAATGAAGCACTCAAACCACCTCATGCCATGTCTATGCACTGGCTATGAGGGAAGATACTATTCCAAAGTATTTATAACATAGTACTACCACTCACAATATCTCTTCAACAGTTTTTTTTTTTTTTTTTTTTTTTTTTTGAGATATATACAAGAGTTGTTACATTCTTGTACAGCCACTAGTACACGTAGCGTTTCGGGCAAGTCCTTAATCCTATGGTCCCTGGAATACGATCCCCTGCCGCGAAGAATCGTAAAGAATCATGTTAGTTGCAATTTACTGTTTAAAAATACAGTATTTCCTACATTCAAATGTCATAATCTTACTTTTTCCTACATTATCTTAAACTTTCTTCAACATTAAATTAATTCACAATCTTTTGCTATGCCTTGTCACTTTTAACAAAGAATCCTGCATGATCTGCATGCAAACATGCCAAGAACAACAAAATGACCACATCACTTCAACCACCACATCATGTGTTCTTGCACTGCTACACTCTTTCTCTAGTGAAAAGAAAACTAACCTTGCAATTATCCTAATTTGTGTACTTTCATTGTGATCAACAAATATAGAGGCATCCTCTCTGCACAAAGAAACTGGCTGGTATAGTGGAGTAGGCAGGACATGGAAAAATGTCCAATGCAACCTGATTATCATACATGATGCTTATTTTATGCAGACAATGAGTCACAATAATGTGGCTGAAGATATAAAGACTAAACCACACACCAGAAGATGAGGACGACGACAACGTTTCAATCCGTCTTGGACCATTATTTTTTTTTTTTTTTTTGAGATATATACAAGAGTTGTTACATTCTTGTCTAGCCACTAGTACGTGTAGCGTTTCGGGCAGGTCCCTGGAACACGATCCCCGCCGCGAAGAATCGTTGTTACAACCAAGTACACATTTTACTGTTGCGCTAAACAGAGGCTACAGTTAAGGATTTGCGCCCAGTAAATCCTCCCTGGCCAGGATACGAACACATGACAAAGCGCTCGCGGAACGCCAGGCGAGTGTCTTACCACTGCACCACGGAGACTATAAAAGGTGATTGGTTCGCAATCGTTCGATTATCAAGGTGATTGCCATTGCAATCGACTGATAATGGTCCAAGCCAGACCGAAACGTCGTCGTAGGCTCATGTTCTGGTGTGTGGTTTACTCTTCACTTGTTTTATAGAAATGCCACAATGTTGTCAAATTTAAAATGCCTCATGAAACAGAAGGGATATAATTCATAAAGTGGATTGAGATTCATAATTTTATTGACACTTAAGCAATATTGGTGTGTAAGTGTAAAACAATCACCAATTAAGATAACTACTAACAAATTTTACCTTTACAAGAGCTTTATGATTTCTCAGTAAAAATAGATTACAAAATCACTGTCAGTAGATAAAAAAAAATGACATTAGGTATGGCTCAATTATTTTCATCATGAAGCACAATTGCGTTAAAAAATTAGTTTAAAAAAATAGTCTTAATGACTTGGAAATGTATTATAAAAATAAAATTACAAAATCTATATAGAAATAACCTCAGCCATAATTAATGTACAGTAATAAACGAATACACAAAAATGTTCCCATTTTGTAAGATCCTTTGCTTAAAGACTACATCAGACAATGCAGGCGATGAGTCACAATAACGTGGCTGAAGTATGTTGACCAGACCACACACTAGAAGGTGAAGGGACAACGACGTTTTGGTCCGTCCTGGACCATTCTCAAGTCGATTGAGAAACGTCATCGTCCCTTCACTTTCTAGTGTGTGGTCTGGTCTACATCGGACAACTTGTAATACAAAATTAGTAACTGTGGTATATCTATTACATTATCTGCTGTTTCATTATTTACTGCAACATACACTACTAATCACAAACAGCATATATAATTTTTTAATGGAATGGAATGCTGAATGAATAAAATTCATTATATATATATATATATATATATATATATATATATATATATAATATATAGCAATGTGCACCTAACATTAAATACATTTTCATAAAACTTATGCTGTATTTACTGTAGTTTACAACAAATGTATCATCTGTAAAGGAAGTCTTGCTGAAAATGTATGTTTCACTAAATGAAAATATATTACAAAATATCATCTATTGCCAGCTTGCAAAACCCTGAATGAAATAATCTGGCTCCTAAAATAGTATTGGTAATGTGGATAGTGATAAATAAAAAAAAATAATAACTCAGTACAGTATTATCAATAATACAGCATTGCTATTTACAATTGATAAAACATCTATTTGACACCTTTGTAACTTGACACCAAGTTACAAAGAAGTGTCCCTTTGATAAAAGTAATTTCTGTTATACAGTACAGTACACTGCAGTATTTGAAAACAAAAAATAATCCCCTGAAATATCACATAAGGTCTATTATATAGAGATGGACCATTTCAGTCCCATAAATGAAAATTACTACCACGCATCCAATATCATAGATGTCTTCTTATATTGCTGGTACTACACCTCTCTCCAATACTGGTCTGGTGATGTTGGTAGAGTAATTCAGAGAGGAAGAAGACTCATGACCCCAACCACTAAGTGGTGCAAGGATCACGCTAAACGCAGCTCATGGAGGATTACATTAAATGGAGTACGTTGTGGATCATGGTAAATATTGAACACGGGTGGCGGTAGTGATGATTAAATCTCTTTCCTATCGGATCTGTGGTGTCTCTTTGTAACTCAACACTTTTGTAGGTGAAATAACATGCAGAAAACTATATACTATTGGTACATCATTAAAGAAAAGAATATTAAAACAAAAGAATGTCAATAAACATGAGTTTTTAAACTGAAAATTCCAATATAATCAAAACATCATAAATCTAAATTATTTGGATTTTTAGCATTACAAGTATCTATAATAATTTACCTGTCATCTATTGAAAACAAAGTGCACAATGAGAGGAACACAATTATTACACAACTATTTAATACATAAACAATATCAAATTTCTGTAGAACAACAAATGCAAAACACGAGTAGAAAATTATAATAATTTCTGAATTATTAAGTTCAGTTCTTCATCTGAGTAATGTAATCTTATTTATATATCAAAGGATAATAGATCAAGCCCAATCTATAACTTTGACATTTTCTAACAAAAAAAAATTACTATGTGCTCTGCAAAATATATAGAAACAAAATTTGTTGATACAGTATAATTTAGCTACAAATTATATGCATTATGGTCTAGAGAATATGTAATAAAATTTATATCCTCTTCAACTAAAATCCTCAATCATACCAGTTTGATAATAGGAATCCAGCATTATGTATCCTTATAACTGTCACACTGTATTAGAGTCAGGTAACTGATTCTAGTCAAACAATAAATGGCTCGTCTTATTTGGTGACTAATTAAAGAAACCAGTAATGTCAGAGTGAGGCCCATTCCTGAAAGAGTTATTGTTAAGTCTGAGGAGGAAGATAAAATTTTCATATCCACAGGAAGACACATCAGTTTGGAGGCAAACTATAGATATCGGCCATAGGTTCTTGATAATGTTTGTTGTTTCTTGAAGATTAGTATCTACAAATTAGATATTAGTTTCTAATTTTCTAATTAGTTTTATATTTTCTAATTAGAAAATTAGTTTCTTGAAAAATTAATATCTATAAATATTATTTTGCCTTTGTGTACAACTGCTAACTACTGATATTCCCTTAAATTAGTAAATGCATTAAAGACAGACCTAACTGCTAACATAAACTGATAGCTAAGTTGACAGAAGAATGTATATGCCATATATGGGTCTGGAGTTGACTTAAAGCAGACAAGCAGCATTTTACCGAGTTTTATATATGCTGCCTGATATCTTTACGTAACTCTCAACATGGCTGCTTTGACTAAATGTAAAAAAAACTGTCTCAGATTTGTACCACTTATGACATTACATAGATGTATGCTGGAAGCATTTTTGTATCAAAACATAATTACCTGAAAAGAGGAAGATACAAGTACAGTACTGTATAGACATTTAGCAAAAGCAACATGGCTTTTGACAACCAACATGATGTTGATTGCATTAGCTGCACAAAACTTTCCTTAGTAAATACAACAAATATATGCAACTATTTAGAGCTGCAAGCATTAAGAAGTGCCGTGTATGATTATAAAAGCCACTTCATGCAATGGCACTATATATCAACATATTTAATTCACTTTATTAATGCATACTTGACAATGGATAAGTAGAATAACTATAGGTGAAATGTATTTTATACCATTTCAAGCCTTTTATCCCTACTTAGTGAGATTCTATAAATTAACAAATGAGGAAGGCCAATCGGTTATTTATTATGCACCCCATACCCATCTTGTGAGCAGTAGTGGAAAAGCCCTTCATACTTTGTGTTAAATTTAGCAAAGCTTACAAATGAATACAAGCATGTGTGTAGTGCACGGAATTCCATTATGGAACATGCAATAATAGTACTTTAACTTTGACATAGTTAATCTAAGCATAAAAAGACTTGCATGAATAGCAAACCAGACCAATGTAATAATCAATAAAAAGCTAAAAGTACATGTACAACTCCTTATTACATAATAATATGTATTATATATTATGATAACATCTATTAACTTATAAACACAGTCATTAATACTATGACTCGGTTGTCTGGGAAAACATTACAGAGAGAATTCAAGTGTTACTTCTAGCATAATGGCAATGCCTTCGGTGCAGCATTATATAACATAACTTGCTGACTGTCCTTAAAAAGCTCAATGCTATCCATTCAGTGCATCCTATTTTTCATTTACTTTTTATTAGTATACAGTACAGTACAAAAAAAAGTTTCTTTCACCTGATGTCCCTATTCACTTAGTAGTAAAATGATTTCTGGGAGTTAGACTGCTGCCACAGGCTGCATCCTGGAATGTTTTTATGCGGGAGAGAGAAATATATGCAGTAGATATGATAAGAGGAAAAATAGGTTGAGAATCAGTGCATTAGACAACTGACAGTTAGAAAAATGGGGTCTAAGAGCTAACTGTTCAATCCTGCAGGCACAAGTAGTAAATACAGTGTCAACACTGATAGTTAAAATAATGTTAAAGATAAAGGATAAAATGGAATACTTAGTTGCTAAAATGTTTTGCCACACTAAGTTCTAATGAGTAAAGCACATTAAGTCAATAATGTCAACTTGTCCATTTTTCTGTATACATAGTACAGAAATACAGTACAGTACTAAAGAATGGTAAATAATATATCTTTCCTAAATATTAGGCATTTTACTGTCTCTTCATTTTGGAATGACCAAGACATAGAGAAATACTTGCTTAAATATTTGCTTATAATCATTAATTAATGCAGGTGCACTGTGTGGACAAAGTCATGATAAAGTGGCTGAAATTTAGACATCAAATCTAAACAGAAAAAATCAGCCACTATAATCTGAAAAATTCAGTCTGATACTGCAAGAGTGAAGATAAATTAAAATAGATTCATGAGAAGGTAACAGCTGGGGGGGTAAACTACAGTACTAAAGCATGATATGAGATTCAATGAAACACCAAGATCTTGCCAAAGAAATCAAACTAAGCTAAGAGAGATGGCTAGGAAACTGACTGGTTTATTATACATGGCATTGCAATATCTGGGTCACTGGTGCCAACATATCGATTACTAAAAACTTAAATCAATAAAATACAATTTGTTAAAGTCGTATCGCATAAACTTCAAAGCAAAATATATATTGATACAGTTTTAAATTGGAAAATAAAAGATCCTTCTAACTGAAGATGAGAAAAGAGGTGGCAGTCCTGACCTGAGGACAATTAAGAAATCCAGTTATGAAGACTGAGCTCTGATGATCTGGACTGAAAATCAACAGCATCATTGAGTTGAATTGTCAAGGACCATTGTCAAAGAAAAGGAAAGAAAAATGTGAATTTCAAACTGTCAAACATATGAACCACAGACTTCACTGCTCCTGATGGTTGGTTATATAAAGACAAATTCAGAACAACATTTAAAGATCACTAGATTAAGAAACTACTGTAAGGCTTGCACCATTGAGGGCATATACCCTATATTTTATACATTAACGCTTCTCTACACGTCAGGCAGGTTAATTGTTGCTACTTAAAATTTTGTAGCATTATATTTTTCCCTCATTTTATTTTGTGGGGAATGAGGAAGTGGTCTGGAGATCTCAGGAACTTATGTTTTGAATTTTGTCCTTACATTTTTAATATATAATACTGTATATAGATCTGGTAAATTCACAGCATGTCCAGGAATCTAACTCCTTGAATTAAATGGCATGTACAGGTATTGTACTAAGTTTCTAAAAGTAGTTTGGTAAATGACAATCAGAAATGACTAACACAGTACATAATAAAATTGTCATGAGAAAACAAGCTACAAATATTCAGAAATAAAACAAAATTTAACAAATACAAACTTAATTTTATAAGTAATGGTTTGTTTTGCGTATTCTTAAAGAAAACAGAAAATGTCATCCATCGAGTTTACAAAATTGTTACGACAAGTAAAAAATCTTGAAAATATTTAAAATGTAATCTCGGAATGAAATGCAAATAATTAATCAATACAGATGACTAAACCAAGGACAATGAATATTTTTGCATTCTTCAACAACTTATTTTAAATAAAAAAAAATATGGCAACAATGATCTGATATAAATATTTAACCAATAATTATACAATATATTTTATTAACCCTATTTGGTACAATATAACATCCGTGTAAAGTAACAAAACATTCACACACACACACACAATCCAGTTTTGTCAGTTGAATCACAACATACACCGAGATAACCACCAGCAATACGTTGACTTCAGATCATATACTGTATTCATTTCGGGTAATAAGCAATAATTTGGCTGTACCATACTGCCTTATTACATTACCGCCCCTTGCTGAAACTTCACAATAATTACTCGGTAAAGGATATGCAGATAATGAAATGTTAAATGAACCTGTTTCTCCGGATTCTGTCATTAAGAGCCATAAAGACAGACCCAGTCATTACACTTCTTCCACTGCTTAATAAAAATACATTCATGGATTACTATATATACTAACAATAAATTATCTTTTAATCTTATGCCATCTCTTTCATGCTGAATATTTAGTAAAACTATATGCATGCAGCATTTTCTAGCATTTGCTTGATTTAAAGCTTTGTACTATTTCAAGCAATAAAGCTTTAAAATTAAGAGAGAGAATTAACTAGCATGACAGATTTTAAGGAAAAAATAAAGAAGTGCTGATTAGGCGCTCCTAGAGCAAACGATATAACCGAGACATGTGTGTAACTGGAGAGAGTACAGTATATACACAAGCTTAGTTCATATACTAGTCAATGTGTTTCCTTGGTACAACTTCTATGGCCATTAACATCGTCATAAAAACCTAATAATATCCATACCATACAATTACATGGAGGAAAATGTTAACATTAAATATGTGACACATTCTTTTTTTGAGTCATTACTCTGGTCTCATGACCACGAGGCAACCAGACACCTTGGGACATCATACACACCACCTGGCTCCACAAACTTAAAACCCCCACTATTACAGGAGACGTTTAAAATGACCTTGCCATATAACTGAGTATTTCAATCCACCATCAGTTAACCAACTCATACAGTAGAGCAGATTATTATTAAAAGATATATCTCACACAATCAACATACTCTTCAAGCAATAATTGGAAACTAAAAACAAATTAAACCAAAAAGCACCAGATAGTAAAACCGATTACCACAACACATACGGAGCTGATAAATCCCATTTAATGCAATGATCACCCCAAACACACACACACCTATTGTGTGACAACAGATGGAATGCATTAAGCAGTGATGTGGTGGAGGCTGACTCCATACACAGTTTCAAATGTAGATATGACAGAGCCCAGTAGGCTCAGGAATCTGTACACCAGTTGATTGCCAGTTGAGAGGGGGGACCAAAGAGTCAAAGTTCAACCCCCACAAGCACAAATAGGTGAGTACACAGAATCTGAGACAAAAAGAGAGGGTCAGAGAAATTTAGGTACTGACTTGGTATCAGTTTTATACTTTCAATATTCCATTTTCAAGCTAAGGTCCCTTCCTCACAGTCACAATTAGGAACTTACAAGTGCAGCAGCCATGATGTAGATGCATTCTCAAGAACCCACAATGGCACTGTTAGCCATGGCTGAAAAGGGTGCAGTCAGAATGGCAAAGAACATGAACATCAGGAAAAACCATGGGCTGATCAACTGAACTACGTAACACAACAATTGGGAAAACAAACCTTGGAATAGGAGTAAAGCATCCGAGGAATATGTAAGAAAGCCTCTGGGCAAGAACAGGACACTCAAATACAACAACACAGAGATGTACAATCCAGGCAGAATTAGAATAACAACTATCATAGGGAATCAAAACAGGCCACGAAAACAAAAGGATGGCCATGCACTTGTGGCTAAAATGGAGGCTTTTGAAGCCTCACTAACTAATCCCCCCTTCTTGAGATGGTTTCGGGGCTTAGCGTCCTTGCGGCATGGTCCTCGACCAGGCCTCCTTTTTGTTACACCCCCCCCCAGGAAGCAGCCCGTAGCAGCTGTCCAACTCTCAGGTACCTATTTACTACTAGGTTAACAGGGCCTTCAGGGTGAAAGAAACTCTGCCCATTTGTTTCCGCCTCCACCGGGGATCGAACCCGGAACCTCAGGACTATGAATCCGAAGCGCTGTCCACTCAACTGTCAGGCTTCTTGCCCACAACACAAGAACCACTGGGCAATGAAGCAGGGTATGGTGCTGTCCAATATGAGAGCCAGCTTCTAAAATCAAAAAGAGCACAAAAGGAAATAATTTAGTCAAAACATGGAGTGAAGCACATAAAATGGAGAGGATAAGAGCAATGACAGTGATCAACCAGACCACTGCAAATGCTCAAGGACAGCCCATCTGCAGATTAAGTGCTATAAATGTGTCTGACACTGCATTGCAAAGAAGCAGAGAGAGGTTCAATGGCTGCAGTAGCAAATGCTACAATGCCTAGGGAAGTAGCTTGGAACAAAGTTGAACAATGAAAAAGCTAATGAGAAGGAGGCATTGAACCACAATAGTTGAATAAGAGTAGATCAGGTGCTAGCTGAAGCTTTCCAGAATCTCCAACACTGTTGTGGTAGCCGGTGTTGTCAACTGGTGGCAGTCAAGGAAGTTTGGATCTGGTAGTGGTAGTTTATAGAGATAACTGGCATTCCATGGGTTTCTAATTATTGCTTGAAGGAAGTGTTGAATATGTGGGACATGTCTTGTACTACAGTATAGCAAGTTGCCCAACTGATGGTAGCGCTAGACTTTACATTGTCTCGCTGCCCACATTATTTGACGAGGTCATTTAAAGTCTTTTGTAATGGTTGGATAATAAGTCCATGGAACTTAGTATGTGAATGATATCAGGCATGGACCAGTTGGATTATAACTATTAGAGTGACCAAGTCCCCTTAATTCAGAGACCTGACTTAACAAAAGTTGTGTTTCTGTTCTGGTGATTGACTTACAATGTCACTTGATTATACCAAATCAAATATGAATAAAGAGATGCCAAACTTATAGCATCATATAATTCCAAGTGTAATAAATGAGATATATTCTCTTGCTATAGCACCAAATTGGTTATTTGCTAATAAATTATAACATAACCTATGAATACAGCACCACATTTTTTTAAACCTTAACCCTTTGGCTGCATAGTTTTATGTCTAAAGTGTGAATCATTTTGAGAAGTGCACTTTGAATATTAAAACCAAAGGAAGCTATATTGAGAAATGTTTGAATATCATTAGTTAGGAATCATGTGAGTTCATCTCATAAACAGGGAAATGACTACTACATGTAATTGATTTGGACCCTTTGTTCTGAAGATTGATTACATACAGAACTATGTAATCATTACATAAAGAACTATGTAGTACTTATTCAAGTACTGCTCACCTGCATCTAAAATATAAATAAACAGGTTATTTAACTACAATACCAGTAGTTGCTGTCACCAGTTTCCATTCGTACACAGGCTGGACTCTGCTCGACTCATGCTTCAATTCTCAGGGATATAACCCTATGCATCAGAACAGGAAAGCCATTTTTATGAATCTGGGAGACATTCATCGACTGTTGCAGTCAAAGAATTAAACAGTTGTCTCCTGGTGGACTGTGGCAGATGGCTTACTTGGAGAGAGGGGGACAGCTGCTTCATCATCGTCATCCAAACTTTTGGAACTGCCCCGAAAGCTACCTGCATATCCATTACTAATAGTTCCATGGAATGAGCCACTTCGGACATTTTTGTTAGGAAGCATTGAAGGAAAGAGTGTTACTGTGAGATAGATCAGGAGGCATACCCAACTGGAACATATTTTGATCCAAACAGCTGACCCTGACCGACCAAATGTAATTAGTCTAGCAGTGGATGGTGTATACCAGTCTGTAAGGCTCATCATAAGGAATAGAGTAGCAAGACCAACCATGACATGAAATAATGGATAACTGTAGGCTAATTCATTACTTTCATTCCGAATCACTTTCTGTCCTCCAATGTCCTCAACATCATGGCGTTGAACACTCTGATGTGAAGGACAACTTGGAAATTCAATGGCCTGACAGTTATCAGGGGATGCTGTACCAACAGCAGAATACATAACCAAAACAAACGTAATTACCAAACTCACATAGGGAAGGACTTCATCTGCCCAGGATTCTTCTTCCCCATCTGGACCACAATAATACTCCTGCTCTGGCACAGTATCCCGTACATCATGCCCTACACCGATCCAAATAGGATGCGTTTCACTTTCATACCTTTGGTATTTGCGAGGAGCACTTGCAATGGCACTCCAAGTAAGGTAAATGACATAGAGTGAAACAAGGGAAGAGTGGAGGAGTCGTAGACGGACATCTTTGGGCCCTGAAAGTATAAAAGTCCCAATAATATGCAACATATTTTTATAAAAATCATCAAAATATTTTTTTATAAAAATTACCAAAAATATAGATATGCAAAAATGCATCATTTTAATTAAGGAAGAAACTCTAAGAAGGCACAACAAAGAATACTGTACAATTCAATTACCTTGATACCCATCACCAAAGCCAAGAAAAATAAAAGTTCAAGGGTGGCATATGGAACAGACGGACCCATCCTTAAAGGAAGGAAAATCAAAGGCAGTCTCGAGGGCCTAGGTAGGCTCCACAAGAGTATACAACTGGAGGATATTAAAGAAAGCCGTCCAAAATTAAATACAAAATCCAGTGTTGAACATATTGAAACACTTTTTTTGTGTGTGTGGGTTCCCTTGAAATATGTTCAAGCTACCCACCTGGAGTCCTCCTAATCCAGGTAACATACCAGATTTTGATCCTGGTCCCCAAAAGGCACTTGTGACTCAAAGGGTCTGGTGGAGTACTTAGGCTCGGAGTTAACCAGGCAGATAACTCTGAGAACCACCAAAAGGGAACCCTCTCAGAAATCCCCACTAAAATGATATAAAAATAATACAAACGTGAAACTTCATCAAATCTGAAATTCGTTAAAAACATCAGGAGGGGGGTCCGGGATAATACATTGTAGATTTGTGAGGTTACATTATGCATTGTATCTGTAAAATATTGTAATACAGAACAGTACCTTATAAATTAAATATCACAAATAAGGTCTACATTCTTTTTTAAATATCTAATACCAGTACACAAATGAGCTTTACTAGAGGAATACACACAAACAATAATGTACTTAAAATTCCCAAAGCCACATTTACATTAAGAAGTGATAACAAACACACATCTCACCTTGCTTCACCACTGACACTATGGACACACAACCACAGGCAACAGTGTTGACGAGTATGAACCACCGGTTACGGTTGCAGCCCTCAGTGGCAGCAAAGAAATAATACAGGAGACACACACAACAGGCAAATACAAGATATATACAGACTGCTGCTGACAGGGCCACTGCTGTAGAGATAAGGAAAAAATACAGGATCAGTTACATAAAAAACAGAACAGTAATGAAATGCTCCTTTCTAAGCATAGCCTAGGTAGCTCCCTTCAGCTTACTGAAGGGAGCTACCTTCGGCTGATAATTCAGATTACCTCGCTGATAATTACTGGACACCTGTAAAATTCTACCCACCAGGAACACGGGTCTTTGCAAACCCCCCAATTAGCTCCTTCTAAGGGTTGGTAATACATGAATAAAAATCAACCCAATATGGATGTAATCAGACTACAAATACATAGAAACAAGCTCCTAAAACATTCAATTATCAAAAATAAAACTATGATAACTAACTAACAAATGTATCAACCAATTAACTAACTCTCCTGCTTTGCCATCAGCCCACATTGGATACTGGTAAAACCACCTCACAATCAAACCAAAGCCAAACTTACTGCCACAGGGAAGGAGGAAGCGAAAGGGGAAACATGCAAAGCTACTGAGACAACATCAAATAAATTACATTTCATTACACTCAATGCACTGTTTTTGGGCAGCCCCCCTCAATTGTTACCGTCGGCTTCCTCACCACAATGTTTTATCTGTACGTACAAAGAAAACCACAAGAAAATAAAATGATAGGTGTGACTGACCCTAGGCAATGATACCCCCTTGATGAAGACCCCTGAAAGGAGCAGGAGACCGATCTCTGGTGCTAATCATGCAGCATGGTTGAGTCCGTGTAGAGAGAGAGACATTAGAAAGTAGGCTGTGAATGCTCAATACCTCCTTGGGATTTTATAATGGCTGTGAATTTACACTTTTGAGAAAAATGCTTTCAGAGTACAGTACAATAAATTTGATTATCATTGGCCCTAAGATATTTCATAACTGGTTGAGGTAAATGCTCAATTTGGCCGTGAGTGTAAATTGAGCACTTAGTTTACTCTTATTGAGTTTAGTTTAATTGAGCACTTAGTAAATTAGAGTAGTTTACTCTTCTCTAGTTGCCAGTCTAGTTTTGTTAGTTAGGCATTTATCAAAATACTTCTTTAGAGGGAGGCTGAGTGGTTTGTGACCTTTCAGTACATTGAGGGCAATTCGTCTCGGAACTGGGTTGATCTGTGATCCTCATGTGTCCCCTGCCACATACAAGGGGCAAAAAGGGATTTGCAATGGACCTTGTCCCTGGTGAGTAGACAGGTGCCTGACATTGCTTAGTTCACCTGGTAATGGCCAGAGCTCAAGTAGAGGGGAGATACAAAAAAAGGGAAAAGGGGGGGGGGGACTGCTCAGAAACAAGCATCTATCATATACTGTAATAAAAAAATTAACAAAAATATAATGCAGTTCTGTACATGAAAATACATTGGAATCTTCTTCAAATGAACCCTTTTAAATGTTGTCTCTAAACAGCAGACAGACAAAAATTGCTGAAAAACTATCAATTTAAATCTTTACATCATATGCATGCAATGGAGAGAAGTTTACCCAATTTACCAAGATATTGGAAAGTTTCAAAAAACATTCCAATACAAATTAGAAAAATAATGAGTACAGGTACTATACAGTATTTTACAAATTCTGTACAATATTGTAATTAATACACAGAGAAATCACATTAACGTGATGTATCAATGAGAAAATCAGTAGGAGCCGGGAGGATGATTCAAACCTGCACACTGGGTACTCCCAAGCACATGCTTTAGACCACTACATATAAGAAAATTCACTTTCACAAACAGAGTGGTAGACGGTTGGAACAAGTTAGGTGAGGTGGTGGTGGAGGCCAAAACCGTCAGTAATTTCAAAGCGTTATATGGCAAAGAATGCTTTGAAGACAGGACACCACGAGCATAGCTCCCATCCTGTAACTACACCAAGATAATTACTACACCACGCCTGCATGGTCAACAGCAATGCAACCTGGGATTCAATTGAATCCTCTAGGGGTTCTGAGGCTTCCATTAAAGCTTAATCAGGATTTAACACATTGCTTAGGTTAGGATAGGCGAGGTGAGGTTAGGTTTGATCAAATTTCAGTTAGATTTAACTCAAATTAAAACAAATTGAGAGCATATATAATACAGTATAATGGAAAGCTTTATTTTTCCATAAGAAAAATACAGAAATTATTTAACTTCAGGAAAATTGACATCAATACATACATACATACACACATACAGTACATATATAATTTGTCAACCACACTACAGTACCATGGATATAAACATTTCATTCACCTGCGCACTACGAGACTCGAACAACCAACCCCACAAGTGGGAGACAGAAGCTTTATCTATTTTTCTCATGTTTATTAATGTTCTGTTAATGTGAAATACAATCAAAGTAAAATGATAAGATGTACATACACTGCAGTAATAGATAAGCACATACCTCCATACCAGCGGGAAGGAGAGCCACCATTGTTAACACGAGCAACCAACTTATCAGTCCACGAGTGGAAGAGAAACACCAACAACAGGAGCTGGATCACAATGAACAGAAATGCCCCGCTCATTGCTGTATACATCCACACTGGCCAAAAAAACAAAAACAAATGTAAACAAACATTAGAATAAACCTCAAAAATTAATATTTGTTCTTATAATGGACATTAAGACATAGGTGTCAAATACAGAGTTGTTCGATGGAAAAGCTGAATTTGCTTGTTGTTGGTAGCTTCCGTGGCTTTTCAGTAATTGATATGACTTTATGTAGATGCAATCTTTCCATTGATGTAATCAACTTGGTCAGTGATGAATCGTTTCAACAGCATTTGATTCTACTATTTTTTTCAATACCTAGCCTATTCATCTTTAACCATGGTTCATATGAAGGGAAATCATGCATCAATTCCCTTAATAAACAATACATTAACAGGGAAGTATTTTAACTAGTTAAGAAGTTTGAAATAGGTGGATAGAATTCTTTAAATGTCTAAAAGGTGGAATTGACTAATGTGCAAATAAAAACATACGTGTAGAACAGAACAGGACAAACATCTCTATAATCATGATAAAAAGTAAGTGCACCAGTACAGGAGTTAATCCTTAAAATTCAATGCCTTGCCCTTTCAAGCATATAACAAAATATTAGAAAAAATTATTATATTGTTAATTAGAGATACTGAACCTGAACCCGAGATACTAAGCCTAAACTGCATATAAGTACAGTACTCTTCTATTTCTCAAACGTGTTAACTGGTAGCCAACCAACATCACATTGTGCTTCCACAGGTTTTCTGGGGAAAGCTCTTTGTGGCTCCTTGAAGTGTCAGGAAGCCACTAGGGCTTACCCAGAAATTTGTGTTTCATTACATTCAACACTGGTTTTATTCCATTAGTTAGCTGAAAGCCCATTACTGTATGTGAAGTGTTGCAATCATAATTAATGATGTAGATTTTACTGGGGAAGAGCCAAACAATTTATTTGAAAATATTAACCCTAAAATTATGGTTAGTGTGTAATATCCATAACATGCCTTGAAAAAGACTCGGTCAACTGCCCACCTCCCATTCTTATTTTCGAGTGTGTACAACGGTAGTTTTTTTTCTATTTGGGGGGAACCTTATAAGCTATAAAGTAAAATAAAGATTCTCTATTTTACCATTAATGAACAAGTCCTTTGGATCAGGTATGAAGAAGGAGCCAAAACAGAAAAGCAATAACAGCAGGAACTTGTAAAACCACATCCCATTATGGAACCCAGCCCGGCAATCTCGGCTGCTTTTGACACCTGGGGAGGATTTACAAATTCACATACTACACCATATTACTCACAAGATAAGACCAAACTTCAAATTAGGAATACTGTACTGTAAATAGAAAGCTGGATATAAAAAGCTTATTACCATCATTTAAAATGTTTTCATGCAATATTAAAACTTTAAAAATTCAAGACTATTCAAAACAAACTACAAAATATACCGATATATACAAATAAAGATAAAACAACTGAATTAGGTACAAAATGCAAGAGGCACCATTTCAACTAAGATCTGAATTTCTTAAAATGATATTTTCAAAGAATTTAAACAAATCTTACCACAGGTAATCAGCATAAGTAGAAAATGGTATGCAGTGATACCAACTCCAAGTCTGTAGACGCCCATATATCCCAAAGCTGCTTCACAGTTTTCACCAGCATGTATCCATTCACACACAGTCGAATGGTCAGGAAACTGAAAAAACCAGCGTTGAATGTCATGAAATGCCATTTTCTGGGTGAGACCCGGAGGCTCCTTGGTAACTCTGGGGAACCGAAGGGGCTCCCCCCACAAAATAAAAATTAAATTAACTGCACCTTTCTGTTAGGCTCAAATTACCTGTTCAGCCTCCATAACTATCAATAGCAGTGAATCTAACTCAGCCACCACCAAAAGACCAACTCAATATCAGACAAAGGAATGAATATTATGCCAATAGTAAACCCCTTCTAAACAATAACTGAAATAAATCAACAGATATTACTGTATTACTCTGAACTACCTGCTGGGCCTCCCAGACCAACACCACCGAAAGAGGGACAGATATCAGTAGCCTGGTACCTGATCAACCAGGCTGTGATTCATACGTCAGGCTGCGACAGCCACGTCCAACAGCCTGGTTGACCAGTCCAGCAACCAGGAAGCCTGGTCGGGGACCTGGCTGCGGGGATGTTGAGCCCTGAAATCATCGCAAGGTAACCAGCCTCACTTGTTATTCATGCCATGAAACTGAAAATGTATCAAATGTTTATATTACAGACATAGTACACAACTACTTTACCATCTCCATAATAGCTTTCTGTACACGATGTGACATCATGAGAGCCATGATGCCCACATTTAACATCAGAAACATAATGTAGATAATCCTTGTTGATGTAGACTCGAAGACAGTGGGACACAGACGGCAGCACAGGCGACATGATGAGGTCCCACACAAGCAACCAACCTACAATATGGTGAAATATTTTCAGAAACTTTAATTATTTTTATACTCAGCAATACAACAATCTATGCATATTAAATTATGGCATTTAAGATTTTCAAACTTCTGTGAATAGAGCAGAGTAAACAAATCACTGTATGTGTAGCGTTTCGGGCAATGTTCAATGTTCAACATTCAATATTGGATATTGGGGAGGATTACCCTCTGTGTCTTCCTGAGTTATTTCACCATGGAAAGGAAAATAATAAATAGTCTGACTGGTGGTAAGGCAAACGATGAGCCAGAAGACAGGAACCTGAACATCAATTTGGGCCCGAGAAGCCAAAAAGATGCTGCAATCAGTGGATGGAATGGGCCAGAAAAGATCAGGAAGGTGAATGAAACCGCTCATCAAGCCACCATAATAATAAAGATAATAATGAAAACAAAAAAAATAATAGTAAAAATAATAATATAAATAATAAAATAATAAAATAATAATTATAATAAAAACTAATAATAACAATAATTATAATAATTTTAATCATAATATACAAAAGAACATATTACATACATATTACCACATGCTTTCTATAAACAGACAACCTAGTTTGAACCTAATGATCTGCAGTTGTTCTAATACATTCCTTTGTTATTACCTGAATTGACCTGAATTTAGTTAAGGGCCACTAACACTAGTGGCCTCAATGAGGATAAGAAGCCAGCGGCTTGTCAAAGGTCTCCCCATTTGCCTTGATAATCTTTACCAGTTGGATTTTGAAATGTAATAATCTTGGCATTTACGACTTCGGCGTGTAAGCAGTTCCATGGGTTTATAACCCAATGGGTGAAAAAGCGTCTCCTGTTCTCAGCCCTACACTGTGGCTTGTTGAGCTTTAAACCATTGCTTCTTGTTTGTGTTACATTTTGCATCTTTTGAAGAAATTTTTTGGATCAACACTCACTAAACTGTTCAGTATTTTAAAAATTTCAATAAGATCTGCTCTGTCATGCCTGGTTTGCCATGTTGTTAGCCCTGTGGCCCTCAACCATTCCTGATACGCGAGATGATTTATCTCTGGAATGATTTTTGTTGCTCGATGTCGCACTTTCTTCAGAGCATCTTCAGAGCCCTTCTGAAGATGAGGTCTTCATGCTTGGATACAGTAATCCAAATGAGGCCATATTAGAGATTTATACAATTGAATCACTACCATCTTTTCGTTAAAGTCAAAGGTACGCTTGATTATTCCAAGGGTTTGGTTAGATTTTTTTTGACTGCTGCGGAGTGGAATTACTTAATAATAATAATAATGTTTATTCAGGTAAGGTACATACATACAAGAGATTTTACAAAATTTGATAGATTTATAGATAGAGCTAGTACATACAATGCCTAAAGCCACTATTACGCAAAGCGTTTCGGGCAGGAAAACTTGGTTATATAGAGCATAGAAATAAAGTTACGGATTATCCAATCTACCAAACACACCCCCTTAAGCTAGAATAATCGAACCTAACCCTATACACAGGCTTGGCAATTACAATACGAGCACTGTGGTATCGCCTGTCAAATCTGACATACTCCCTGCTCAGATGAATCACACAACCTCTAACCACACTCTACTCCCTACCTGCGCACGGCAGCACGACCTGCCTTCAATATACTCTTGCCCCCCGTGCATCCCTGTCATGGTCAGGCTTAAAAGCAGTGGACGTCGTTGGTAAATAGGTTAAAAACAGTCTTAAACGTTGTGGGAAACTAATCCCCGGTAAGGCAACTTGCACCACATTCTCTTTGTGAACGCTAGTTATATCCGGCTCGTATTCTCTACACCCACCCAACACTTCGTTTAAAATTAGCTTAATATATAAACTATAATGACTCAATATTCTAAAAAAATTAAAAACAAAATAAAATATGGAAAATATGCTGTAACTATAAGTGATAAATAAATATTAGTTCACTTATAACTTAGATTACTTAGCTCGGATGTAAAGGGATGTTTTTGTTATTGTTTGCTGAGGAAAAGTGTGCGGTCGTGTTTTTGGGAGGACTAAAAAATGGCAGAAGTAAGTCATATATTGAACTATATCATCAATCCGTTATTATAATCGCTTGCTTATATATCAGTCTTACACCTAGATTAGAAATATTACTTTTCAAGTGACTGAGATAACGACTAGGTGTTTGGGTATTAAGATACAAGTTTGGGATCAAATGGTCGAACCCTTGTTAGAATCTGACCAGGTTGTCAATTGGGTTAATCCATGTGTTGCATTTCCACAAAGGTCGCTCAAGTTAAAATCAGTGAACACCCCAAGAATATTGTTGAAAACATCTTGATAACTTATTAAATAAAAAATCCAAAGTTTTTTAATGTTAGGTTAGGTTAGGTTAGATTAGGTCAGGTCTGTGTTTTACTACTGCGTCATGGAGACTTTATATCTATGGGGAAATTTTGAACGTTAAAATCGGCGTTTGCCGAATTTAACTTGTGCTACCATTGTGGAAATGCAACACATAGGTTGACCCAATTGCTACTTGGGTCAGATTTCATTATGGTTCGGAAACTAAATATCTCAATCTTTCAATCTTTCTTGAGATGGGAGTTGATTTAGTTCAGGAATGATTTTTGTTGCCCGGTGTTGAACTTTCTCCAAAATGGATACATTATGTTTTTCTGAAGGTGAGGTCTGCATGCTTGGATTCAATAATCCAAGTGTGGCCCACTCTAGAGATTTATACAGTTGAATAACTACCTTCTTTTTCCTGAAATCAAAGTAACATCTGACTATTCCTAGGATTTGGTTGGCTTTTTTTACTGCAGCTCCTTGCAGCTCTTACTTGTTGTGCAACATTCAGTGATTTATGGATTCTGACTCCAAGGTCCTTTTCTTCATCAGTTTGCTGCAAGATAATGTTGATTTGGTAGTTGTGATGTGCAGTGTTATGCCCCATGTGCAAGGTTTTGCATGTTTTTTTTTATTAAAAGGCTCTGCCAATCTTCCTACCACTTGAATAATTCATGTAAATCTCTTTGTAAGGCCTCAATATCATTTTCACTACCTATTTTACCATAAATAATTCATGTAAATCTCTTTGTAAGGCCTCAATATCATTTTCACTACCTATTTTACCATAAATCTTAGTGCCATCTGCAAATTTGATGATGTGGTTTGTAATATTCTAATCTGTCATTATATGGAAAAAAGAGGGTTGACTCCAAAATGAAACCTTGCTGTACCCCATTCACCACTTTTCTCATTGCTTTCATATGTAATGAGATGGTTAAATCATATAAAATTCCAGACTGGAATTTGCTTGCAAATAAGATTGTATAATCACCATATTGTAATATATAAATGTTATTTTATTGTACAATATTGTAATTATATCTAAGGTTTAAGTGCCAGATGACCAATGTAAAAAAGAAATGTTATGCAGAGTATTAACACACAATTTACTTTTAGAATTCATCAATTTTATACTGTATATATATTGTACTATTACTTCAGGTAGCTACAAGCTCTAGCAGTTCCAACAAGACGGACAAAATTGCTGACTTCAAAGCACGTCTCGCCAAGCTGCATAGCAAAAGGGTATGTTCATTCTTTGTTAACCCATGGACTGTGGGACCCATATTATATTTTTGAAGATGAAGGAAGAACCCTGGACTGTGGGACCCATATTATATTTTTGAAGGTGAAGGAAGAACCCTGGACTGTGGGACCCATATTATATTTTTGAAGGTGAAGGAAGAACCCTGGACTGTGGGACCCATATTATATTTTTGAAGGTGAAGGAAGAACCCAATTAAGTGTAATTGTATTAAAATCAAATTTTTGAATGCATCCTGTATCCGTCATCATGTATTTTGGGTCTTCCCTTCATGTTCATTCAGGCTTTTATGGTATTATAAAAAGTTTCTCCGTTATGTTTTTGTTACAGAATTACAGTGACTGCATGAATTGTAATATTTTTAATTTTACCATGTGGCAGGTAGCATGGAACAGTCAGGCTATGAAAAAGTTTCCACTCCTGTCAGTAGATAGCTTTCAAGCTCGTGTAAGCTATTCTACTGAAACACTAATTAGTTTCTTTGTTACTGTATACAAATACTGCAGGTATACAGTATTGTACTGGACATTGTTAAATTGTTAAAAAATGCAAAGTTTGTCAAGATGTAAACCAGTGTTTGTTATTATTATTTTGTTAAACAAAAATCAGTTTCTTTGTTTGGAATACAGTACTGTACAATTACAGTACAGTAATTGTAAAAATTAAAAAAAGAAATACAGTACACACATTGTCAATACTGTATGTAAACCAGTGTTGTTGTTATTTAATTAATACTGTACTGTAATTAGGAAGTATTATTGACATTTCTAATACAGTACTAATACAAACAAAACCTGACAAACCCATAAAGAAAGTGAGCACAAAATCATGATCCCGTCACATTGAGGGAAATGCCAGAACCAGAAGCCACAAACGGCCAGGTATGGCTTCGTAAGGAAAGTGAGTTGTCTGGGGGTGGGGGGTGGGAGGAGAAACAAGGTAAACAAACCTCCCTGAAACACATGAACTGGATCTTTGACACTGAAACAACCATTGATCAGAACAGCCAGATATGAGAGAATGTATACATTATATGGTTACTAAGCACTAAACCCCATCACCTAGAGACAAGATGGGAGGCATGGAACATCAATTACTTTCCTAAGTGTAGAGAGATCAGTGACTTTACCCTAGTCTGTATAAATTCACCACTTTACCTTTCATTTATGTTAGCTCTCCCAGCATTTTAACTCCTATTTATCTTCCTTGTAACTCCATCATCTCTCCCTATGTCCAAATTATTATGCATATTCTGTTAGTCAGTACTGCCTGTCTTGCTCTTTCCTGTATCGGATGTATAGTTAATTTCAAGCAATACAGTATATCTTTTTAGTGCCTAAGGTGTAATTTATAGTTGATAAAAGTCTATATAAATACTTGTATTGTTGTAAATACTTTTGTAGAAGCTGTGTTGATGAATATTTTTACTTTATTTAATTGTCACTTATGAGAGAGTATTTAAAGCTATTGATTCTTTGATAAGATAAAGTGATTATAACATTTTATTTTTGTTCTAGAATGAAGCTGCAGTTCTAAACCATAAAGAAGTTGTGGAAGAAGACCGAGTTAAGCAAATGCCAAAAAATTATGCAAAGAAGCGTGAAAGACTAGAAGCTGAATTTAAAGAAGATCAGCGAAGAGAGGCTGTTTTAGCAGAGGTAAGACACTAACATGATTTCTTTTTCTTTCTTTCAACCTTCAATTAAATGTTTTAGGGCAAAATTGATCCTGAAAAGGAGAGCCTTGAAGTGGTGTGAGGCATGACAGACCTGAAACTCAAGTCAAACCTTGAATCTCAGGTGAACAGGGATACTGTATAATGTAGTGTAGTAAGTGTTCTGGAGATATAGGGAATGGAGCCAAGACTATTTCAACCACGAACTGACAAACCACAGTCACAGCAGTCATCTGGAATGGAGGATAAGGGGATGTAAACACTGTGCTTCAACAGGTTGTGGATCTATCAGAGCCAGTGTGTTTTTTTTGGCCAACAGGAACTGAATTTACCTGAATGGGTCACTAACACTTTAGTGGCCTAGATAAGCAAAGGAAGCTGTCCCCTGCCCAACATTTTGCAAATACAGGTATGAATGTAGAGTTGTGGAGTGGATGGCTGTGAAGGGGGACACCTGTGGGGGACTAGAGTTCACTGAAGATTTTGGATAACAACTTGATACATCTGGGCATCCTTGTTCCAAGCTTGCCAGAAGGGCTCAACACTCTAGTTCTGCCTATACTCTAGTTCTAGTTGAGTCTATGCATTCCCGCTGCTGTAAGATACTGTATAATGTAGTGTAGTAAGTGTTCTGGAGATATAGGGAATGGAATGGAGCCAAGACTATTTCAACCACGAACTGACAAACCACAGTCACAGCAGTCATCTGGAATGGAGGATAAGGGGATGTAAACACTGTGCTTCAACAGGTTGTGGATCTATCAGAGCCAGTGTGTTTTTTTTGGCCAACAGGAACTGAATTTACCTGAATGGGTCACTAACACTTTAGTGGCCTAGATAAGCAAAGGAAGCTGTCCCCTGCCCAACATTTTGCAAATATGAATGTAGAGTTGTGGAGTGGATGGCTGTGAAGGGGGACACCTGTGGGGGACTAGAGTTCACTGAAGATTTTGGATAACAACTTGATACATCTGGGCATCCTTGTTCCAAGCTTGCCAGAAGGGCTCAACACTCTAGTTCTGCCTATACTCTAGTTCTAGTTGAGTCTATGCTTTCCCGCTGCTGTAATCACTTTGGTAATTACACCAGCAGGGAATACATAGACTCGACTAGAACTAGAGTATAGGCAGAACTAGTGTATATGAAAAGCCCCTGGAGGCTCGTGGAACCAGACAGACAAATCCTGAGGCAAAGCCCAAGACAAAAACAAAAAGCCATCTACACCCTCTTATAAACACCCTGCTATAGTGTGCTATTCAATAAGTTTCTTTGGAGGAAGTGAATGTTTAACATATAGTATTTAGATGACAGCTTACTTGAAGAACTTTGCATCTATTCAGATGAAGCAGAGGTAGTGTTGCTGTAGATGTTTTGATTAGTTTAACAGTGCTCATTATACATAATGCTTCAGTGTGTAGTTTGTAAGATATAGTGAATTGACAGGTGTCATATATATCATTGTACATTATTTTTCTTTTTATATTCTGTAGTACTCTTCTATTTCTCTCAAATTTTTTAAAGAATAAATCTCTTGACAAATTTACAGAATTTAAAGGTATACATTTGATAAAGTATATATAAGCAGAATCACAGCTTGAAAATTGCATTGTTGTTTCTTTCTAGGGTAAAGACTATGACCGTCTGAGAATGCTGGAAGTGGGAGCAGATGAAGCAGAGCGCTGGGAGAGGAGAAAGAAGAAGAAGAACCCAGATCAAGGTTTTTCTACTTACGAAGATGCCACAATCAGGTAAAGACGCATTTTGCTTTAACTTTCTCACTATAACTCATAGCTAAGCTTGAATAGGAGAAGAAAGTAGTTCAATGCAGTATGCAAGTTTTTCCAAATGCTTTGACAAAAATAGTTTCAATATCCTGAAACCTTCTACCAAATGTTGGGGAGATTATTGTTAATGATGGCATTTATAGTGATATTCTGTGTCTTAGGAACACTTATTGCCTAATATTAGTTACCTGGACCATATTTTCTATTGGAAAATGAAGACTCAAGAACTTTTGATTTTAATTTTCGTTATTTTTCCATGGAACATGGTGCTTAGGAGTGCATGCAGTAGATTTTTTATTAAGAAAAGCAGCTGGTGTAAGAATAAAACAGTATTGGGAATGTTTATAGCAGTGTGGAAATATATGAGAGATGTCAGGAGTCATAATTAGTAGGGATCTAAAGCTAAGAAATCAATGTATAGGGTGAAATAAGAGATTCATATGGTAGAAGTAGATGACCAGTATCTTGGAAGGAAAGAATTAACAGTATTATTGTGTAATGATAGAGCTTTTTTTTGAGAACCTCTTGCCACTCCTTGATGGGGTGCACAAGAAGAGCAAGGCTTCAGGGTTATAGATAAATTTATTTTTAATTCACATGCTCTCTGTTTCCTGACATTAATTCTGCTCTTCCTGCTAACCTTTTTTTTTTTTCATTGTTGGTCATTACTGTCCTGAATCTGGATGCTCTCTGTTTCCTGACATTAATTCTGCTCTTCCTGCTAACCTTTTTTTTTTTCATTGTTGGTCATTACTGTCCTGAATCTGGTATGGACTTAATTTCTTGGTTATTTTATGGTAAAAACACTTTGTATCTTTCCTGACATCATGAAGCATCTGTGAATGGTACTTTTGGACAGTAGCTGATCTGTTCTCTTTCTTCTGCTAGGCCTGCATAATTGTGCAAGCATTTGTTTGTCATATTAACAAAAACGTTATTAAGGCAACATATTTGTGTTTAAACAGGCAATACAACCGTCTTGTTAAAAATAAGAAAACTAACATGGAAGAGTACGAGAGAGAGAAGCAGGCTGTTGGAGAAGCTGCATTTTATGGAGAAGACAACACAATTGCCATTGGTCTTCACAAAGATTCTGCTTCAGCAATTGATAACATGGTGGAAGATCTGGAGAAGCAGTAAGTTTTCTTTCCTGCCAGTCAGTTCATACATGTAATACAGTACTATTTTGCACAATCCCTGGATAGCTGACAACTGGACCGGCTGGGAACCCAAATCAGCCAGTCGTCGAGGTAGGGCCACCACCCGAACAGGGGCCTCGAAGCCTGGTGGATAGCGCGCAGGACTCGTAATTCTGTGGCGCGGGTTCGATTCCCGCACGAGGCAGAAACATGTGGGCAAAGTTTCTTTCACCCTGAATGCCCCTGTTACCTAGCAGTAAATAGGTACCTGGGAGTTAGTCAGCTGTTACGGGCTGCTTCCTGGGGGTGGAGGCCTGGTCGAGGACCAGGCCGCGGGGACACTAAAAGCTCCGAAATCATCTCAAGATAACCTCAAGATAACAAGATCCCAAACTCTCATATAATAACAAATATGTCAACACTATTACTAGATGTACCCAGCAGGGCTACATTGTTTTCCTTTTCTGAATTGCTGATGCATTACTAAAATGGTATCTAACATTTATTTTTGTGCATTGTTCTGTTTTTTTTTTTTTGTTAATGTACTTTATACTGTATATCACTTGGTCTAAGCATTAATATGGATGTGCTTTTCTTCTATTCAGGATTGCTAAGCGAGAGAAGTATTCGCGTCGTCGCATATATGATGATGATGCCGACATCAACTTTATCAATGAGCGCAATATGAAATTCAACAAAAAATTGGAACGCTTCTATGGTAACTACACAGAAGAAATCAAACAAAATCTGGAAAGAGGAACAGCTGTGTAAACGTCTGCAGTGTTCTTTTAGGATACAAGTGTATGTTGGAAGCTTTTTAAGAGCTGCCTACAGTACAAAGTAGAAATTATTTTTTTTTTTGTCTTGCAACCCTAAAAAGCAGTGTTTTTCCTCTTCATAGCAGTGTAAATATCAATTTAGACACATCATTCATGTAATTATTCATCAGGTGACTTAATTAAAAATATTCCCATACTGTACTATGTATGTAGGCGATGAGTCACAATACAATGGCTGAAGTATGTTAACCAATCCACACACTAGAAAATGATGGGACGACGACGTTTCGGTCCATCCTGGACCATTCTCAAGTTGATTGTGAATGGTCCAGGCTGGACTGAAACGTCGTCGTCCCTTCACTTTCTAGTGTGTGTGGATTGGTCAACTGTACTATGTACAATATCTGCTGTTGCAGTACAGTGGTGTATTGTATTTAGGTGTGTGAAATTAGGAGTAAGGCTCTTCCTTTTCTCCTACCTTCAAAATTTTCAAATTCACTCAAATTTGCTCTCTTCCCAGTTATTTAACATGTAGATGTTCCACATTTCTATGATATTTTAATTCCTTACTCTATTCTAACATCACATATGCTCTACAGATTATCCATTTCTACAGATTTAATCGCTACATAGCCTTCCCGGCTTGGTGCCTTCTTTGATAATTTCTTACAACTTTAATTCTTGCTCCCTTTCTTTTATATCTTGCTATTGTCTTGCATACTTGAACTTGAACGAAGGCTTTCATTGCATCAACCACTTTCCTTTTCTGACTGACCCCTGCTCTCAACTTTAATTGCACAAATTCTATTGTATCAGTCACACATCGCAGGTGTTTAAACTGATCAATCACCTCAAAGTTTACTATTAGTATTTACTGTATTGTACCCACAGGATATCCTTTTCTCTCCACCACTATACCTTTTGTACCCATTTCACTTTGTGTCATCCTTCTTTCACACACTGATACAATTTTCAGCCAATCTACAAAACTGTTTTTATTTTAATTCTGTTTAGAGGACTGTCATCTCCATACATCAAATGTGACACTCGTATTATTTACATTAGGCTTATATACTATCTTGAGGTTATCTTGAGATGATTTCGGGGCTTTAGTGTCCCCGCGGCCCGGTCCTCGACCAGGCCTCCACCCCCAGGAAGCAGCCCGTGACAGCTGACTAACTCCCAGGTACCTATTTACTGCTAGGTAACAGGGGCATTCAGGGTGAAAGAAACTTTGCCCATTTGTTTCTGCCTCGTGCGGGAATCGAACCCGCGCCACAGAATTACGAGTCCTGCGCGCTATCCACCAGGCTACGAGGCCCCTACTAGGTTTAAACACCTTGCTAACATTCTTAACTTTGCCTTCCTCATGACCCAATCAGTGTATATACTAAATAACCATGGTAACATCACACACTGCTGATGTACAACTACAATATTATCAACCCAGTCACACTTAACACCATTAACTCTTAAACATGCTATACTACCCATACACGTACCATTTGTAATTTCTCTCTTGCTCTATTTTAAGAGTTATGATTTTTTGGCATCATTAGTTGTGGTTGTGAAGATGTAAATTATTTCATTAATAGGTTAAGGATGGTCTTTGTGGAGAGAGAGAGCAGTAAATAGAATAAATTATGTGGGGTGGGGAGGGGGAAGATTCTAGTGACAGATGTGCATGATGTTCCCAATAGGTGGAGATAATACTTAACAAAAAAAAAAAAAAAGTCTTAATAGTTACAAATGGTGAAGTAGAGGCAATAAGGCTGTAACATGTTTTGGAAAGAGCGGAGGGGGTTGAAAGAAAACTGAAATAAAAGGGCAAGAGGGAAATTAGAAAAGTTAGGTATAGGGTATAGAGTAAAAATGCTCCTGGTATATAATAACTATAGATATGGTGAATTATGGGGAGAGGTGATGGACATAATTTTAAATACAATATATGTAGTATGGCAAGGTGCCAGAGTGATTGGACAAACGTATGGTCCATGTATGTGAGGTAATAGTGATGAATGTGGAAACTATAGTGGGATTAGTATATTGTACTTAATATCCCAGGAAAATTGTATACAAGAGTTCAAATTGAGAGACTAAGAAAGATAACAGAACGTAGAATATTTAAGGAACAGGATAGATTTAGAAAGTGGAGGGGCTCGGATATCTACAAAGAATGATTTTTTCAAGAATCTAGCAAAGGAGGGGTAAAGATGTGTCCTGCTGTATAGTCTTTGTTTTATTGCATGGATAATTGTAACAAGCCAGTTGTGGTACTGGTATCTGAGCATATCACATTTTACCCTTAATGCACCTCTACAGGGGTCCACCCCTATGTTTTACAATAGTTCATAACGAGCCATCATGTGGCCATTGACGAGTCACTCCTGTCCTACATGTATGGCCTGCATGACCACTGGTGGGTCATACACGTACAGTATTTGTTTTCAGTAAATACTGTACGTGACTTTGTGTCACGCTTATACAGTATCAACTGAGTCTGTGGATGTATTAGTAATATCCCTGGTGCATTAGTAATTTGGCTGGGCCAGTCTGTTTTGATATGCAACATGGTAGATTTTATTAGATAAAAAATAATTTTGTATGCTTGTAATTTATTTACTTGCAAACTAAAGCCATAAATATTAAATGTATTTATTTCATGAAAGAAATATTATTTTAAACATTATAAAAAATATTAATTTAACTTACAAACTAAACAAATAAAAACTGTATACTGTACTTATAATTAGTACTGTACTGTTTTCCCTTATTCTCCTTTTGAAAACATACAAAACACATTAAGTTATAGTTTACAAATAGTATTAACTTTTTTAGAAAATGTGTGTGTACCTCCTCCCTGGACAAATGCATTTAACAAATGGTTGCATTGTTTATGGGATAAACCTCTTTCTACTTCCTTAAAAAAACGTCTGAAGTTGATGGTGAAGGTGTTGAAACTGGACTCGTTACTAAGACAGGTGTTTCTCTGTGAAGTAGACCACTTACAAATTTTTCTTTAAATTTTCTTATGTTCATTCTGTTTGTTATTTGCTTTATTGTATAAATGATGAATGTTTAATATAGTTGTAGCCATAAGTAACTGTCATTTTAGTGTAAATTTTATCTGGAACGAATAAAAAATTTAACAAAAAGAAATACTGCATGTCCCAAAAGGTTGGCAAGTAGTGTGTCTGCAAGTAAAATAACTTACTGGGACCACATGACCACCAGTGTGACACACTGAAAAAAATTACAATTGTACAATTGAAAAATTAGATAAATCAAGTAACTGATGACAGAAATGGGTGGTACAGTATTCTAAGGTTAGGTAATTAAAAGGAGAAGGTGTAGAACAAGTATGACTAGGCAGACAATGAGTCACAATAACGAGGATGAAGATATGGTGACCAAACCACACACCAGAAGCTGAGGAGACGCCAACATTTCGGTTTATCCTGGACCCTTATCAAGTCGGTTGTCTTTGACTTGATAATGGTCCACAATGGACTTGATAATGGTCCAGAATGGACCGAAATGTTGTCGCCTCCTCATCTTTTGGTGTGTGGTTTGGTCATCAAAGTATGACTAGGGTTGTTGAAATTACCAAATCAAAGTATGGAAGAGATCTAGGTGTCGTGATTAGTTGGGATCTTGTGGCCAAATTTTTTTTTTTTTTATAAATGTATAAAATAAGGCAGTATAATACCCGTTGTGCAACAGGCAGCCTGTACTTAAACTTATCAAGGTCCTCATGAGATAACTACCGACCCCTTTTCAGAATGCAACCCACAACACTTTTCAAACTCCCTGGTATCGGCCCAGTAGGCACAATATTCAAAAGTAAAATTAATTCAACATTGAATTAACATTATCAATGTGGATTTAACATTGAATTAATGTTACTCCTGGATATTATGCCCACTAAGTATTTACTACTAGGCAAACAAAGGCATCAATTGAAAGGAAATGTGGCCAATTATTTGTCTTATATTGGAAGTGAACCCGGCTTCATAAGTTGTAAGCTGAGGATGTAGCCCCTTTGCTTCAGGGCTTGTATAATACAGTACTTTACTAGAATTTGTAATAAATGTTAGTAATAATACATATAATTTTATTTTATAGGCCAATAGGCCTTCTAAGATTTTTCTCAGTTCTTATGAGCACTATCTACAAATTGAAAGCAACATCACACAGTTCATGTACACAGATGGTGCTCTAAATTTAGTGGTGGTAAGGCTGAAGGAACTGGAAGGTACTGAAAAAAGTGGAAAGCAGGGAGCAGAGATGCTGCAAAAGAAATCATGACATGATTATTGTATCTAAGCATGGAGACTTCATCTTCAGAACGACATGGTTGTGTTGGGAGAAAGTTCAACACCGAGCAACAAAAATCATTCAAGAATTAAATCAACTTTCATGCCAGGAATGGTTAAGGGCCACAGGGTTAACAATACTGCAAACCAGACATGACAGGACTGGTTATCATCGAAACTTTTTAAATACATGTACTGAAGAATTTGGAAGACTACAAAGGTGTATTTATCCAGATTGTAATGACAAAGCAAGAGAGAGAGAGAGAGAGCTGCAGTTGCAGAAAAAGAGGCACAATGTGGGAGTGGGAATGGTGAACCAAATTCCTCCAGCTCAATTAACTACAACAGTAGCATAAATCATCCCTTGCTCCTACATCATGCTCATGCATTCAGCTACACCATTACTCTATTACCCATTCCTTACCTTTCCACTCTTTCCCTACCTTTTCCTTACCCTCTCAAACCTTCCCAAAATTCCCTTACACAGTAGTAACTTTCCCAATTCCACTTCCTCCATCTCCTTTTCAAACTACTTCAATTCCCACACCATCTACTCCCCACACTGAGAAATCACCCACATCACAGAGCCAAAGGATGAGAGTACAATAATTGCAACTAAGAATCCAGAGAAAGAAGTGAACTATAAAGTCATGTACACCAACACTGATGGAATTAGACAGCAACTGAGCTCAAATAATGGACATATGAGGAACACCTCATATGTTCATTATGCATGTAATTACATATGGATGTAATTGCACTTAGACACGAAACTGTCAGGAGCCATAACTAATAAGGATAGATTAACAAGTTACTGTAGTGTAAGAAGAGCAGAGCAAAGAATATAATACCTAATCTTTGGGAGTATTTACCCAGGGGATCAATAATATTCTAGTGGCCTCAACAAGAACAGGAAGCCTGTGGCTTGTCAAAGGTTCCCCCCCCCCCACCATTTGTCCTGATGATTTTTTCTACCTCTATTTTAAAACCACAGTTTTGTGATTTACGGCTGCTTCGGGTAGGCGGTTCCATGGATTTACTGTATAACCTTGTCAGTCCTACATTGTACCTTGTTGAGCTTGAAAACCATTGTTCCTTGTTTGTGTTACATCTGACATTGTGAAAAAATTGTCCGGATCAGCATTCTCCAATTTAAGGATAAATAATTAATATAATTATTAATTATGTGTTCGCTATTACATATATAAGTTTCGATAAGATCCACTCTGTCATGTCAGCTGAAATTCAAAATCCAGTTTGATAAAATCATCAGGACAAATGGGGAGGCCTCTCACGTCCTATCCTCGTCGAGGCCACTAGAGAGAGAAAAAGAGAGGACGGCCCACAGGTAAATTCAGGTAAAAATATAAAATACAGCTCATTGGAGAAGTTTGAACACCGCGCGCCCGTACTGCGAGCCTAACAAAGGAGCATTGCACTGCGACCCTTGTGTGTTAGGCTCTCGTATATCAACACAAGATGTGTTCCAGCACATCATATTAACACAGGCATAGATATTTAGCATCTTGGAGCCGTGTCAACTCGAGGAGAGAGCTGTGAAGGAGAATATTAACCATTGTTGTGGTGGAGGAGACGTCGCTCTCATGTCTGCCTCACACAGTGTTGCCGGGGCCGCCTCAACACATATTTAACTCTAATTACCTTAACCTAGGACCTCTTGACGGGAATATTTGCGCGCTCTGCTGTAAAACCTGACGAACGGTCACTCTCTGTGAGGAGACACTGATAGATTACTTTGGGAAGCACGGGGAGGAAAGCAGTCAGTAGGAAACGAGGCTCGAGTAAGTTGTTGCAATAGGAGACTGTAGTGTATTCTTGCAACATCTCTCATCACAGCAAGTTTACCTTTCAACTCATCATCTAGAAGAGAGTGTGATGCATATCTTGGACCTCGCTGACAGGTTGGTACAAGCTGTTCTGGCTGTTAGAGTGAATGGTTTGGAGTTGCCATAAGGAGTCTAGTAGACTCAGGAATCTGTACATCAGTTGATTGACAGTTGAGAGGCGGGACCAAAGAGCCAGAGCTCAACCCCCGCAAGCACAACTAGGTGACTAGGTGAGGTGAGTACAGACAGATTTCACTCGGAATATTTAAGTTCTTTTACGTTTCGATGAGAAGTACACGACCCAATGGAGCTTTAACCCGAATTTTAAATTACTTTATAATTATAAAGGCCTGATGCCTGATGAGAGCCATGTGTAGCGAAGCACGTACAACTGAAGGATTATGGAAGTGGCTGCTGGCATTGCTTCACCTGAATTTACCTGAGGAACCACCTTTTAGTGGCCTCGACGAGGACACGAAGCCAGCAGCTTGTTTAAGGAACCATTTGTCCTGATGACTTTATTGAGTTTCATTTTTTAAATAAAACATCATTTTGGCATTTATGGCTTTGGCGGGTAGGTGGAATTTATAAAAAGCATCACCTGTTTTCTGTCCTACATTGTGGAAGGTTGAGCTGGAATCCATTGCTCCTTGTTTTTTTTTTTTTGAGATATATACAAGAGTTGTTACATTCTTGTACAACCGCTATTATGCGTAGCGTTTCGGGCAAGTCCCTGGAATACGATCCCCGCCGCGAAGAATCGTTTTTACAACCAAGTACTCATTTTACTGTTGAGTTAAACAGAGGCTACAGTTAAGGATTTGTGCCCAGTAAATCCTCCCCGGCCAGGATACGAACCCAGGACAAAGCGCTCGCGGAACGCCAGGCACGTCTTACCACTGCACCACGGAGACTGATAAAATTGACTGATTGTTTGTGTTACTTCTGACCTTTTAAAAAAGCAGTCTGGGTCAGCATCCTCTAAATTGTTCGGCATTTTAAAATGTTTCGATGAGATCAGCCCTGTCATGTGTGGTTTCCAGCGGTGTTAGTCGTGTGGTCCTCAACCGTTCCTGGTGTGAAAGTCGACTTGGTTCAGAAATGAATCTAGTCACTCTGGTGTTGAACTTTCTCCAAAGCCGATACAGTACGTCTTTTTTGAAGATGAGGTCAGGTCTCCATGTTTGGATACAATAATCCAAGAGATTGCACTAAAGATTTACACATCTTCTTTGCCTTGCAGTCAAAATTTCATTTGATTATTCTTAGGATTTGGTTTGTGTACTTAAATGCAGCTCCCACCGACACTGTATGTGGGTGAGCAGTGTAATTACCTAAGATACTGGATTTTTGCTCGTGTAAAAAATATAAAAGAGGCAAAAATTGGTGACCTGCATCACATGGTGCAATGCAGGTCACCCTTGGTATGTATGGTAACATTTATCTTCTACCCTCCCATTTTTGACTGATGGAAATGTGCATGTAAGAATACCATTGAGAAGGGATGGGGAGGAAAGAGTAGAGGTAAAAAAAAAAAAAAAAAAAAAAAAAAATAATAGAGATAATGTACTCACCTAGATTTACTCGCCTAGTTCTTGCGGGGCTTGAGCTCGGGCTCATTGGTCTCACCTCTCAACTGTCAATCAACTGGTGTACAGATTCCTGAGCCTACTGGGCTCTATCATATCTACATTTGAAACTGTGAATGGAGTCTGCCTCCACCACATCACTGCCTAATACATTCCATCTGTTAACTACTGATACTGAAAAAGTTCTTTCTAACATCCCTGTGGCTCATTTGGGTGAGTGTTGTGGAAGGGGTGAGAACAAGGTGACGTGACTAAAGTATGAGGAAAGTTTGTAGATGTGTGACTATTCAACTTCATATATACAGTACAGTATTTAACCTAACCCAGAAGGTAATTGGAATCAACTATGTCATGGTAATATTTTAATATCTTTGTCATTTAATTAAAAATAAATAATACACAATATTTATGCCTTTGCCTATTAGTGTGATTCTTACTGTGATGATGATAATGTAGTGAAATTTAGAGGAGACCCCAGAGAATTTGTGTACACGTGTTTAAAATTCAAAACTTACCATAAACTGATAAGTGTTGACCAGACCACACACTAAAAGTTGAAGGGACGACGACGTTTCGGTCCGTCCTGGACCATTCTCAAATCGATTGTCGACCACAATTGACTTGAGAATGGTCCAGGATGGACTGAAACGTCGTCGTCCCTTCAACTTTTAGTGTGTGGTCTGGTCAACATACTTCAGCCACGTTATTGTGACTCATCGCCTGCATAAACTGATAAGGTTTCTTTTTCCTTTCAGATCAAACCATTTGGAGTATTTTCCAAGGCATATGTTAGTGATCAGCCAAGGGTTTGAAAGAACAGTATTACCGCCGTTACCATTATTAGTGTGTAAATGAATATTTAATGAGTGATATTTGGCTCGGTGTTAATCTTGGTGTTTTCTCATACATGGGCAACCTTTCCTAGTGACAAATTCCTTTACAGTACAAAGAAAAAATTAAGTGCACAATATAAAAAGTGTGTTTTTAAAAATAACAAGGGAGGAACGATGGCAGACCATGAGAAGGATGTCCCACTGCCTCCGTCGCCAGGAATGGAAGAGAAGCTGGAGAGTCCACAAAAGGAACCTCTCAGGGAAAACTTCGTCATATTAAAGGTGCTAAATGCTTGAAGTTTGATTATATTATATATGTTTTGTTGTATTTGTTTGATATAACCTTATTCTTTTATTTTATTTATCTCAAAGATATTTGCACATTTTTCTTTCATATATGCAGAACTAATGTACTGTTACTTCATTAAAGATCCCTATATCTTTAATAGTTTTTATCAGTCAAATACTGTATGTTTTTATTGTTCTTAAGCAATAATTATTTGAGCTCTCATTTTGCTGCTGCTGTAAGTAAGACCGTATAGTACTATGCTCATGAATAGGGTCGTGTGAAACACTTGAAACAACTTGGTGATCCCACGTCTATTATGTTTATTGTGCACCCCATGCTCATCCTGTGAGTGGTAGTGTGAAAGGAGCTCCAGAGGCCACACAAAGTCTTAATCAGGGCCTCAGTGGGTGTTATTTGATTTTTTTTTTGTTAAAATAATTCTGTATACCTTTCATGCCTTGATTTATCATCATCCTGTCCAGTGCAACCAAAAAGTATATTACCTTTGGGAGCATCCAAGTGTATTGCTCAAACAGGAGGTTTTCATAATCGCTCAAAGCCTTGTTTTTATATCTATACCATTTGATATAGAATAAGGTTGATTTAAACATTCTATGATTCCACAGAATATGTTGATTAGTCCGGATGATACTGTGTTCGATCAACTACGATCACATCTTCAAGAAAAAATTTGTGATGGAAATGGAGAGACACTGTTTGAGGTGGGAGTTGGTGCAGGTTAGTTTATCAGAATACAGCAGTCTGTGTTGTCATTTTAATATATAGTACTCGAGGAATAATTTTCAAGTTTATTATGTTTATGGCTCCTATCTACTTTATTAATTAAAATCTAAATTTTGATAGTTATAGAAATCTTAGTTATAGAGTACTGTACTGTATTGTTAGTGGTCATTATTGGCAACTAACTGATGCAGTTAAAAGTGTAGCAACTTTAACTTGCTATCCGTTTTGCTGAAATTGTTGACTACTTGTATTAATAAAGTGATCCTTCCCTTAATAAAGTGGTTCCCTCCCTGATAAAATGATGGCCATCATGTCTGAGGCATCACCATCCATTCACTGACGCTCATATTAAGAATCATTGACACCATGCTAGGACTTTTATGGACCTAGAAGAGTCTAGTGATGATTAGGAATCTATTACAAATAGTTACGAATAAGATGTCATCAATATTTCTTCACTTCACTACAGAAAAATGAAAATTAATAGAATTTTCGTCTTTTTTTTTTTCCCCCCAACATCAGTAGGCAATGTTTCATGGCATAAATTGGATTTTTTCGTGCACACCAGGATATCTACCTAATTTTACCTATGCAGTTAGGGGGTTAAGGGTGCTGTCACCCAAAGTGTCCCCTCACCTTGTACAAAGAGCCAGATTCTGGTCGTGGTTCCTGGTAGGCAAGGGTGGGTTTCAGAGCCTGGTACATCTCCCCAAGTCTTGGCTGGAGCATTGATTATCTCTAAGAGTTATGTTGCGATCTACCAGAAAAGTGTGTTTCATTTCATTCAAAGTTTGATTTTAGGCTCAGATGGTTGACCACCAGTGAGCGGCTGAAAACCGCTGATCTTACCCTGTATTTTGTGCAGCCCATGCTCATCCCTGTGTTACCTTACCTAACTCTTGATAGGAAAGTTGCAAGTGTAATATATTTTCTAACTGTAATGCATGCTTTATTAGATATATTAGGCCATAATTTTTGTTTAATGAGTTTTGCATTTATATAATGCACTGATAATTTGCATGACATGTTAGGTGTACTTGGTGTGTCAAAAACTAGTTACATTCCTGTATACACTTCAGATGATTCTGTGTGTGGGTTGCTAGAAGAAGAATATGCAGCATCTGTGGCCACACTGAAGTCACTTGCTGACACCCTTGAAGCTGACTGTATTTTGCTAAGGGAGAAGAAGTCCAAGACTGGCACTCAGGGCCAGTTTCTTGTGAGAAAAAAGGCAGATGCTGAAGATTTTATGGAAGTTAGGTGTGTGTAATTGTAATTTTGGTTGCATAATTTTGATTCCAAATTTCTGGAATAAAATTTTTAAGCTGGTTTGTTGTATGATAGTCCTTCAGTATATATTAACTGCATCTATGTCATTGGACATCTTTACTTGAGTATAGTACTGTATATAAATAGTTACCCTTCTCATTAGTTCACCATATTTTCTATACATCACATTCTGTCTTTATTGTGTTTGTACAGTACTCCTGTCTGTGGTCTATGTATCCTTATTGGTGGTGAATTAGAGTTTTGTTTTACTGATTCCTTATTTAGCGTGGAACTCATGGTATGGAATATTTTAAAGTTATTTCACTTGCAGAAGCAATTATCTGATGCACTCATAACTCAACAACCATATCTACTAGGATCTGAAACTTATGTTTATTACCAGAAACAATATGTGTGCATATATTAATATTTTAATATAATAAAATCATGAATAGTTACATCTTTATCTGTGCAGATGTTTTCAGTAGGTCTCCTGAGCACATGGCATTGATGCTGAAGGACCACATTTGATACTCCAGGCTCCTGTGACTATCTCTGCCGACCAGAGGCAAGCACTATTCAAAATTCTGTGTTGCCTCTTCAAAAGGGCATAGAGCCCATCAGAATTGAAGTACAGATCAACTGATTACTGTAACAAAATTCCCCCAGAAATGCAAAGGAGTAATAAAACACTGAGACACTCATTGAGAAAGGTTTAGTAATTGACTCCACTGGTAGGCAGCATTCTGATTCTTTCAGGGTACCAGTGAGGCAAATCTTTTACTCTCATGTGGTTCTGGGTTCGTTCCATTGTCTTCAGCCTGGGACGGCTACTTTATCAGAGAGAGAAGTGGGCAAGCATTCCTTTTGAATGTTGTCTTAGCAATTGTGGAACATGCTTTAATATTAACCTTTGAAACATTTTCCCTCTGCCTTACTTTGAATGATGTTTGTGTTTTCCTTCTGCCTTTGTCTCCATCTTATAGAATGCTTTCTCTTTCTGAATATTGCACCCTACCTAACCTATCCTGAAAAATTTACTAAACCTTTTATAATCTATCCTTGGGACTTTTCATATTTAGTTCTCTATCTTAATCTTGAACTTCAGCTACTGTATCTTTTTCTGTTCATTGTCCCTCTCAACAAGCATCTTTCCTTCCTTTCTCTTATTCTCCATTCAGACCCCCCCCCACCTCTTTCTAACTGTCATTTGTGAACTCAAAAGAGAGATTATAGCAAAAAGCTACTGCCTCAATTGTGCAGGTGTACTACTTAAGAACTTATAGAATGCAAAGAAGAGCTAAGCCCAGAGGAAAAAGAATATGCTGAAGCACTATCAACAGTGCTTGAACATTGATAAGAGTCAATGTATTGTACAAGAAGAATGTCACTAGTAGAGTCCCACAAGGTGCAGTGCTAATGCTAGTAAAGTTCATTGTCTATTTAAATGATTTACCTGAAGCGATTGAGAGCTACTGTATTTGAATATGTTTGTAGAAGATGCCACGTTACTGGGATGAATGAATGACCTAGATGGCTTTCGTGCCCTTCAAAATGACCCAGACAAAATAAGCACTTGGAGTAATAATACATGGCAAATGAAATTTGACGTGGATAAATGCAACATATTGGATTGTGGAACAGGTGAAAGCAGGCCACACTCGCTACTAAATATGTGAAAAGATGCTAAATAACTTGTTCAAAGATCTAGGGGGTGGATCTGGATTGTAAACTGATACTAGAGTACAGTACCACATCAAAGGCATAATTAGAGGAGCCTACACAGTGATTAGTAATTTAGGAACTTTTTTTTTAATTCGTTGATTTAAAATGCCAAAGAAAAAGTCCATGACATATGTGAAACAGAGATTAAAATATGCAGTTGTGTAGAGTCCTTATCTCAAAAAGCATATCAATAAATTAGAATAAAAAGTGCAAAGAAAGCAAACTTATGCTCTCATTTTCACATTTCAGAGTGGCAGTTGTTGGAAATGTGGATGCTGGGAAGTCTACCCTGCTTGGGGTCTTGACACACGGTGAACTCGATAATGGCCGAGGCACTGCACGCATGAAGCTATTTCGCCACAAGCATGAAATGGAAACTGGGAGAACTTCTTCTGTTGGAAATGATATTCTTGGTTTTGATAGCCAAGGCAAGTTTATTACTGTATGTATATATATGTAGAAGTAATTTTTGTATACGGCTGACTTAGTTACCACTTATTATATTACTGTACAGTATACTTATTTGGTAAAATGCTGCTCACTCAAGATATTTTTGGGATCTTGCATGGTGATCAATTCAACAGAATATATGTTTACTGTGATACTAGGAGTCCCCAACTCATGAACTGGATTCACATGAAATATGTTTGTACTGTAGATTGGCCATTCATAATTTTGAACCTGATTTCTCATGAGTACATGCTATAAATGAGGGGGGATGCATTTCTAGACCACCAAAAATTCATATTTAAAACAACATTTTTGTTGGAAAATAATACAATTAAAATTTAGTTTTATTTACCTTGAATGGTAAAGTAGCTCTGCTTATATTACTGTGCATTTTGAAGAGTCAAGAGGTCTAATTTGCTAATTAAAAAAAGTGATGGAAGGTAATGATGTATGGGTGGCAGAGATTAGCGAATGTGTCACTAGCTTGCTGAAGACTGCTCAAATTTAAGTCTTGTCCTTGATAATACAGTGGCACCTCCAAAAATTCATTTTGAGCAAAATTAAAGAAAATACCTTTCATACCCAGTCTTATATCATGCTTTTGAAGCAAAAATTTACTTTGTAAAATTTTTACGTTCACTCTGTCACACAATAAATATCTACCAGCAGAACCTGACTGTAAGGAGGTTTATTTCACCATCATCACTATTTTGTCCCAATTCCCAGTCTCTGACCCTTATTATTTCAAAAGTACTCCAGTGACTCTTGGAACAAACATGCATCAAACTCGGAATGAAAAACTAGCTGGAATTTTGTTTTAACTACAGTATTCTCAATGATTTTGCCATGATACCAACAACTTTGTTGTCATGAGTATTTCTGTTGACAATATTAATTACTCATGTTGAGTAATGAAGCCAGCTAGAGACATTATTTATATTCGTTGTTGACTTCACAGTACTTCCAGCTGTATAAAAGAACTTAATCTTCTGATCATCAGTCATCGTAATCCCATTTCTCACATTCGTGGGGTTGGTGTGCTCGTTCTCACTTTACCTGTAGAGTATAAGGAAATTATAAATTTTGCAGGAAAAGTAGTGAACAAACCTGACCATGGCCACCTTGACTGGGTGAAGATATGCGAGGCTTCCAGCAAGGTGATCACCTTTATCGACTTGGCAGGCCATGAACGGTACCTCAAAACAACGGTGTTCGGTATGACTGGTCACCTCCCAGACTTCACAATGCTTATGGTATGTATACAAGCATGTTTTCCAAGATATTATTTTTAAAAAGTTATGTGTGATAATAACTTTAATTTTGTTTCAAGAGAAATGGTAAAGCAATCAGGTTCTCAAGTGTAGAAATTAAATTGATGGAAAACAAGGAAAATGCTAACCCGGAGGGAAAAAGAGGATAGAGGCGTTTTATTTTATTTTTTAGGATCTACATCTAATATCTTATCACTTCAATTATAGGATTTAAAACTTTTACCTTGTGTTCATAATTTTAATGTTGAGGAAACTGAATAATTGTGCCATTAAGAATGCATTTCTGTGGGCCTGGCCTGAAGCAGCTTAAAGGTTGAGAAAATAATTTCAATATATTATTTTAATGACATTAATCTAACCAGCTAAAATTATAAAATCAACTTACTTGTTGTACTTTGCTCACCATTTACTAGTCAGCACTTGCCTGCAATTTCTGTAAAACTATTCACCATTATCTTCCATCTTTCCAATTAAATATCATTCCAAGTGCAACCAAGACCAACCAAAATGATATATTTTTGTTGGAAAAGTAAAGTTTTCTATCTGCTTTGTTATTTTTTTAATCAAATTTGTTATATTTCCAGGTTGGTGCCAATGCTGGAGTTGTTGGTATGACCAAGGAACATTTGGGTCTGGCTTTGGCTCTCAACGTTCCTGTGTTTGTCATAGTCACCAAGATAGACATGTGCCCGCCAAATGTTCTCCAAGACACCCTTAAACTCCTTCATAAAATTCTGAAGAGTGCTGGGTGCAGAAAAGTTCCACTTCTGGTTAGGAATGCTGAAGATGTGGTTGTTTCTGCTACAAATTTTGTTTCAGAAAGGTAAGGTTTTATATTCCCCTGAATGCTGGCAATGTTTCTGAATATTTGAAGTGCAGTAAAATATAAGTAATATGTCCAGAGATACAGATAAAACAAATCTATATATTTGAAACAATAATAATTTTAGAAGCTGCCAAGGTATATTCATTGCACTGTATTTAAATAAAAAAAGATTTTTAGAGTCACATTAATATTCTTTTTTATATATACTGTATACTGTTGTTATTTACACAGCTTTATACTGTACAGTTCTTATACTATAGAAAGTACTTATTTTATCGGGTAGTAATACGACACCGGTTTATAATATTTTAAGAAACATTCATGTATTTATGATACCTGTAATGGTTTTTAATGGAAACATAATGAAATACGTAGGAAACTTAATAGTTTTATGAGGTTATGGATATAACATAAGTTCAATTCTTGTGAAGTTGTAGTAAATAGTGCTATATAATAAACTTGATCAGGACATGACTGACAAATGTAAAGCATGTGGTCAGCATAAGACATGTTAAAGTAGTGCAGTTAAGCATGCTAATTATCCACCTTTGTATGCTGCTGTGCAGTGAGAGTTTGGGAATAATGCTAGCTAGATATCGAATGGTTAGCCTCTACATACCTACCTCTCAAGCACTGCTATGCATACATTTGTTCTAAATGCATTATTTGTTTTACAAGATATGGTAACAGCTGCATACTGGCTGTAGGAATGCCTGTTATTAATTCAAAGGACTAGGAATTTCCTTTGAAATTCCTAGTCCATTTTGACTAGTCCCTAGTCAGATTCCAAATTCGGTATTCAAAGAACTAGGTGCATAAATGGGGGGGGGAGGGGGAGGTATAAACAGGGTTCTGAATCTGTTAGAACAGGTCAGAGTCCACATTAATGAGTACAAGTTGAAGGAATCTATTTTTAAGAGGGATATAAGGAACAGGGTTGTGGGTAAGGTGAATGGGATACCAAGTAGGATTATTGAGAGAGAGTTTTAACAGGTTTCTGGAATAGATTGAATAGGTATATGAGAGGTGGTAGATTTAAATAGTACATGCCTATTATTGGCCATCAGAGCTGTTGCAGTGCTCCCTATTTCTTATCTTATATTCTTATAATAAATGTGTGTGCACACAGTTTTTTAATTCATTTTTTTCTTCAGGTTATGTCCTATCTTCCAAGTGTCTAATGTGTCTGGCGATAACCTGGATCTTTTGACTATGTTCTTGAACCTTTTGTCATCGAGGACACCACAGAATGACAATGACCCAGCACAGTTTCAGATTGATGATACTTATCAAGTTCCTGTGAGTTTTCAATGTTTGAACATGGTACTTCTCCTTTCTAGTAATTATTTTCTGAATACAATGCATTACTGATTGAATGGATTAATTGAGATCAGACTGCAGTCAGCTTATCTGACATTTCATTCAGGAGATTGCTAGATTTCTGCCATTTTCAGCAAATTTTCCTACACCCTGTCTTTTTATGGTAGTGCTCCTTCCATGCCTCCTCAAACTACCTGCCTGGTATTTTCCAAACCTTGGGTACCACACCAAGCTTTCAATGGATAACGAGTGCTTACTGAAAACCTGGAACTGGGCGGCAAATGTTATCAAAGCAGTTGCTTGTTTTAGTGTGTTCTACCTCTTTCATGTTTTTTTTTGGTAATGTGGTGAGCTTGTATTCCCAGACACCCCTATGCCATTATTGAAGGAAACCAAATTCTGGTACTGGTCTCCAGTAGGCATTCATGATTCGTTAGACCCAGGTATGGTACCAGAGGGATTGGAAGGTTCCTGGCGAATAGTTTAGAGATCCACTGAGGAACCTATAAGAAAGAGGAATTTCATTACATTCAACACAGGATTTATTAATGATTGCAACCAAGAGAAATATCATCACAATCTGTATCAGCATCAGAGTTACACATCTGCATCTTCTTAGTAGCTAGGAAGACTCGATTCTTCTGCTTCTACTCTTGAGTTGGAGAGTTGTTTACTGGTTTATGCAAATGGGGAAATCACATTGGTATCAGTTAACTTGATGTGGGTTGTTGTGTCACATGTTCAGTATCATGACCTGGAGATCAGAATTGCATGAGCCTTGATGGTCAGCCAGAAATGAAGTTTCTTGGGTGGGAAAGCATTTCTAGCAGTTAATGTCTTGAACCCTTCCCTGAGGATCAGTCAGAACTCTTGAAGATGGCAGGCACGTTTCAGTAGAGCATAACACAAGTGGAAGTCATGTGATTCCAATGCAGCAAAGGTGGATGTATTCAAGAGGCACTTGGACAGGTTCTTGCCAGAAGTGCCAGACCAACCAGGCTGTAGTGGATATGTGAGCCTGTGGGCTGCTCCAAGCAACAGCCTGTTGGACCACGTTATCACAAGTCGAGTGGCTGGGCTCGGGGAGTAGAAGAACTCCCAGAATCCTCTCCAGGTATGCTCCAGGTATGCAGCATCTCGCCTTGTAGTAGCTGTTTCAAATAGGGTCTTGACCGCAGGCAACTTTTCTGCCTCTAGCTCCACCTTGCTCAAATTCTATTTTTGAGGGCTGTCAGGTGCCTGTGAAATTCTTAATTCATCTAATAAATCAGAGCAAGGTATGCATTTCAGCATCTGAATTTGAAGCAGGAATATTAGCTTAATACCCAGTATTGATAGTGTCAATGCATAATTAAAGTATATTGGCCCTACATACAAACTTGCACTATGTACATAACTGTTTCAAGTGAAGTGTACAAGCTGGGAGAAATTGTTGTTTCACAGTGCTTTGGTATTTGCTCATGAGAAAAATGGAATACTGCATCTTGTCCTGGATTTTTGCTGAGAGGTGTATCGTGTGTTCTGTTACTCCTAGGAGAGCTTCCCTCTGTGATTTCCTGAGTTTCCCACCTAGAACCTTCCCAACCTTTGGTACCACACTAGGCTCTAACAAATCACGAATGCCTACTAAAGACCAAGACCAGAATCTGCCTCCCCTCAATTGAGGTATAGGAAAGTCAAGGGATATAAGGTCTCCAAAGAACGAAAGAAAAACCACTAGAAAAGTTGAGCACACCAAAACAAACAACTGCTTAGACAGCATATGCAACCCTGATTTGAACTATGTGCAGTACATATAGGTACTTAGTCTAGGTTGAATCCCTATATCAGCTCAAATCCTTAATCACCGGATCACAGCCACAGTGACCCAAGGGTCCCAACCACCCACCCCAGTCATTTACGCACTGCCCAAGCAGCACCCCCCAAACACCAGTTGAAGGAGGGCAGGGCAGAAACAGAGAGTCAACGAGGGACACAACCAGAAAGAGGTATTTCATTGCATTCTACACTGGATTTCTGGAAGGTCTTCCCTCAGTGGCTTCCCGAGTTAACTCACCATGGAGAAGGAACAACGGGTATGTAGTTAACTAAATTAAATTCCTCATGGGCTGTTGTGAGGAAGCCCAGGGAATCCACCTTAGAAGTGAAGCATTGGGTGTAATGAAATACCACTTTCTGGGATGGCACTGCAATAGCTCCCAGTTCCTGTCTTGTGTTTCCTTTCAAGCCATTTGCTGTGCTTGGGATCAAGAGCGAGGCGTTTGCCTTGTCAGCGGCCCCCCGTCGATCAGACTGCCACATGGTAGTGATTGAGGGAGACGGGTAAGTGCCTAGTTAAGTAGGTAAAAGTTTTCTGTGGTTATTTGAACACAGTATTGCTAAATAAACACAGAAGGAGACTTAGTGTTTTATAACTTTTGTTTTTTTAGCAGGTGGTTCACCTCGGTAGTGGGTGATCTTGGATCCACATGTATTGTCCCTGCTTCTTGTAGGGGAAAAGACAAATTTTAAAAGATCTTTATCCCTGTTAGACAGCGAGTAGTCATGGGAATCTGGCATACCCGGAATATCCTGAGCTTGCCAGTGTTAAGCTCAGGAAAGTTAGTGAAGTACCACCATAGAAAAGGGGCATTTCATTGTTCTCATGTTCTATTTTTTTAAACGTATGTCCCAGAATCACTCCATAAGTATCATAACTAGTAACAAGAGTCTGAATTATAATTGCCAGAAGTAGGGGAGAACCATTTCATGGTAATGGTAATATTATTTAACACTTGATAAATGCTACTTATGGTAACTATTGCTTTGTTCTGTTTTAGCATTCAGCATCATGTTAAATGATTCATAGCTTTTAAATATTCCATAGCAATATTACATATACAGTACCTTCTTGCATGAACCAGTGCTATAGAATTTAATCTTTTGCAGGGTGTAGGTGTTGTGGTGTCCGGAACATGTATGAAGGGAATCATCAGGGTTAATGACACACTTCTACTAGGTCCAAATGGTTTGGGTGATTTTATTCCAATGCCCATCAAGTCGATTCACCGAAAACGCATGCCTGTTCGTGAAGTAAGGGGAGGCCAGACAGCCTCATTTGCATTAAAAAAGATAAAGATTCATGATGTGCGCAAAGGCCAAGTGCTAGTAGATCCATCATTAAATCCTTCTTCTTGTTGGGAATTTAAGGTATGTGTGTTTCTAGGGTATCAGCTCTTTTTCATCCTCATCTTAATTACTCTTTTCACAATATTTCTGAAACATTGTCCCCATTATGTGTTAATATATCATAAATATATCATAAATAAGAAATTTATACAAAAGGCCACTTGGCTCATGCAAGGCAATTTCTATTTTTATCCAACCACTCCCACTCATTTTCTATCCAAATGATGCTTGAAACTTTCCAGTGTGTAGTTTTCTACACGTTTCTAACTTTCTACAAGTTACCTGATAACTTGTTCCACAGATCTTTCAGCCCTATTTCCAAAGAAGTGTTCACCTATATTTTTTATAAATCTAAATTTATTAATTTTGAATCCATTGTTTTATGTTCTTCCTTGAGCTGATAATTTTATAATCTTACTTATATCTCCCTTGTTAAGCCCTGTAATACATTTATATACTTTAGTAATGAGCTTTTTATCATTCTCATGCCCTTCTAGGGAATGTAAATTAAGTTTGTTTAGTTTCTTCATAAGGGAGGCTGCTGCAGATGAGTCACAATAACATGGCTAAAGATATAATGACCAAACCACACACCAGAAGATGAAGAAATGATGACGTTTCGGTTCGTCCTGAACCGTTATCAAGTCGTGTGTGCTAATCAAGTCGGGCTGCTAATGCTTGGGATTTACCAAGTCATCCTTCTCTGTATACTTACAGAATTTGCTTAATTTCTGTAGTAGTGTAATACTAATGTACCGTACTGCATAATCCAAACACACACTCGCAAGGACGTGATAAAGCTGAAGGGTCACATTAGGAGTACATTTATTACTAATGCTTCTATATAAGAAACCAATACTGTATTGGTCTTATTTTGCTTATTTTGTTCAGTTTTCTCCTTGATTTTAGAATGGGAGTTTTATGTCTGGGACTTCTTGTATTTTCTCCATGATAGTGACAAAATTTATTGATTCTCAATACTTGTTTGCCTTGTGAACATCTGTTAAGCAATATTTCCCACCTCCACCATTGCACTGGGTTCAGAATTCTTTTGTTGCCTGTAAAAATAATACATATTTAACATTAAAAGACAAGGTACAATTTACAAATAGGCCAAATGAATTGGCGTTAGAAAGCGAGTTTCATCACAGGAAAGATCATTCTCACTTTATTGCAACAAAACCAAATATTGAATTAGGATTATTGCAGAAGAATCTGCTCACACAGTTGACAGTATCTGATTGCTTCAGATACTGAACTCAAGTCAATGACCATTTCAGAAAATATCTAACATTATTTTTCTTTAATTCTCAATTATTGTTAAATTATAAAAATTATGGTACTTTTACAGTTAACAAAAATTTGTAACCTTTTCATATTTTTAATCTGAATTGCTTTTCTGTATTTTCAATAATGATCTACTATAAAGCTGATTAGCTATGTAGATAAAGATTATAATGAGTATAAATTATTATTTCCTCTTGCTTGATATCCTCAGAAGGCTGCTTTTTGCTCAGGGCTCTGATTTTTATTTAGTTTATTTAAGAGGTTATGTGGATTAAGAAAGTTTGAAAATCCCTGTTTTAGATACCTGGTAATCATATTTGACACTAAAATCTTTTTAACAGCTTGAATTTGAAATTTCAGTTATCTAAACTGATATTTGGTATCCCAATTCTTTAAGGCTGAGAAGCTTTACACTTGTTAGCATTGAACTGTATCTATAATTTTCAGCCCAATTTGAAAGGTTTAGGTCCTTCTATAACATTTCTGCATCTTAGTCTGAATTTATTTCCATTTCTATTATAATATCATTGGCAAATTTATTCAAGTTGCTGTTCACTCTGTACCTGACTTGACAATATTTATGGTAACTATGGGTTTGCTGCTCGATACCCACACCCTGATCCTGTTTAAGATTCTCCTCAAAATATACAAGGGTGTTTTAATGATCTCTTATTTCTCACTATGTACTACAATGTGTCTTTGAAATCTGTTCCCCATACGTACTGTATCTTTAAAGTCAGGACAGATTTTATTGTTTATTTCTGTATCTGGTTAACATCTTATTACAGAATGATGTTTACCCTATAAAATCATTTAAAATGTAAATGATTGTTTGGCCCTTCCCTGCCCATACCTGGTCCTCATTCAGCAGTCAGAACTGTACAGCTGGTCCTTATTCATAAATGTAGAGTTTCTTTTTTGCACATTGTTTGTAATGTTGACCAAACCACACACTAGAAAGTGAAGGGACGATGACGTTTCGGTCCGTCCTGAACCATTCACAATCGACTTGAGAATGGTCCAGGATGGACCGAAACGTCGTTGTCCCTTCACTTTCTAGTGTGTGGTTTGGTCAACATATTTCAGCCACATTATTGTGACTCATCATCTGCATCGTTTGTAATGTTAATTTATGGAATTTGTGACATCGTAAACCCTGACTTCTTTGCCATATTCATTAAATTAAGTGTGCAGTATTATATCTTCTTTTTACTGCTTGATACCTGCTTGATGGGGTTCTGGGAGTTTTTCTTCTCCCCAGCCTGGCCTGAGGCCAGGGTTGACTTATTACTGATATGAGGCTTTACCATCCTTAGGAATTTAATGCCTGAAAAGTTCAGTTCACTTTGAGTAAAATTTTAATGGTAATTTATTTTGTTTTGCAACTCATATTTATTATAAGAGCTTAGAGAATACTGAGAATTGTTCTGCATTCAATATATTGTAAAAAGACTTTAATAATTCCTGACTAATATGAATTAAATTTGCGGTAATGTTACAGGGAGAGATATTGGTATTGCACCACCCAACAACTATTAGTACAAAATACCAAGCAATGGTTCACGTAGGATCGGTACGACAAACAGCATCCATCATTGCAATGGATAAAGAGTGTCTGAGGACGGGAGACAAGGCCATTGTTCACTTCAGGTTTATTAAACATCCAGAATATCTCAAAAATGGACTTAAAATGGTAATGTTCATAAATGTTATTGTCTCGGTAATAATTAATGTGTAACTTAAGTGTAGTGTGTGTGTTTGTTTTACATATTTCAAAATTATTGTACACTATTTAAATTATGTTTAGAAAACAGCCTACTGATTATCTCCTTCTGAAGCTATATAAATCATAGTCTACCCCTCTCCTTTCCTCTAATCCCTTCAATGAATATATATATATATATATTTTGTGTTCTTGCCTATTCAGTATGTTTTATGTATGTGTGTTTGCTATTAGGAAGGATTAACTCATTGACTTGCAGTAGAATGGCAGGATGTTACCCATAGTGTTCTACAGCAAGGGGTCAGCACTGGGAACAATCCTAGTCCTAATCTACGAACAGCATACCAGAGGGGGACAGATTCCTTCTCAATGTTTGCAGATGATTGAAAAATGATGAGTAAATACAATGGAAGACTGAAAGAAGCTTAAGGAGAAAATGAAAGAATGGGGCTTCAAGTAGCTACTAAACTAACTCATGCATGTGCAAAGTAATAAAGTTGGGTGCTAGGAACAGGAGGCTGCACATAAGGTACAGTATCACATGGGAGAGGAAATGCTCCAGGGACTGAACAGAGAAAAGAACTTTGGGGTTGATATTATACCAAACCAGTCATAAGAAGCCCACATTAAATAAATATCTGCTGTATACAGAAGGTTGGTTAATATAAGAGCTGCCTTTAAGAATCTGGCTAAAGAGCAATTCAGGATATTGCATTTCATTTATGTCAGACCAATTCTAGAATATGTAGCACCAACATGGAGTCCTTGTTAAGCACAAAATGGAGCTGGATAAATTTCAAAGGTATGCCACAAGACTTGTCCTAGAGCTGCAAGGTACGTGTTATAAGGAAATCCTAAAGGAGTTAAACCACACATCATTGGAGACGAGAAACAGATTAGAAATCACCATTGTTATGATCTTATCCCTAACAGAGTTCTTTTAACTTGCTGATCCTTCTCAAGTCCAGAGATCCATATCCTTGGTGGAGATGCAATGACATGTCTAAGGTTACAGAAATCAAAGGGCAACATAAAACTTTTAATCATTATTAAGCACAGTTAAAACTGTAGACATTACGTGGACTCATGAACACTGAATACTGACAATGTTTCCATCAAGTGTGGGGATAAAGCCATCTGGTAAGGTCTTCAAGCATTCCACTAGCCCTCTTGCTAGCACACTCCAGCAGAGACATCTTCTGCGCTCCACTAGCCCTCTCACTGGCATGCTCCAACAGAGACATCTTCAGCGCTCCACTATTAATCACTAGCATGCTCCTATTGTGAATCTTCACTCCACTTACATCTTTGCTTGCATGCTCCAGTGGTGAAGTCTTTCTGCGTTCCACTAGTCTTCTTGCTAGCATGCTTCCTTTGGTGAAGTCTTCCAGCGCCTCACTAGCACCCTCGCTAGCATGCTCCAGCAGATACATCCAAAGGTCGACCTTGTCACTGCCTCTGCTCTTTGCTACCACTCACTGGTACCTCAACACTTTTGGTCCTCCTAGAATACTGGACTAGAATAATACAAAATTTATTAATGGGAGGGTAAACTGTACTCAGCTCAGTACATGGAAAATTGATGGCGCTGAGGTACGTTATAACTGCAAGCAAAATATTCCCAAGGATAGATAGGGCAGACAAAAGCAAACTATTGAGCATGGGTTGTTCATAAACAGGCGGACACATGATGATGAAACCACACATCAGAAGATGGAGAAATGACGACGTTTCGGTCCGTCCTGGATCATTATCAAGTAGTGTGTGATGGAGAGGAATAGGATGGAAGGTACGAAGGTATTCGTACCTTCCATTCTGGAAGGATGGAATAGAATGGAAGGTACGAAGGTATTCGTACCTTCCATTTTATTCTTATCTTTCACCTTGCTCTTGCCTTCTTCTCTTACCTGCTCTTCACCTCACTCTTTCTTTATTTATTAGCCCATTCCTTCCTCTCTCCCTATTTTATGGGCTCACCATAGCCCGTGCTACATGGACATCTTGTTCTGAGTAGCTAAATCTAAAACAACAACAACAACAACAACATCCTCTTTCCCGTTACGGGCTCACCATAGCCCGTGCTACTTAGAACTTTCTGTTCCAAGTAGCTGAATCTAAAACAACAACAACCTCTGTCCCTCACACATGACTTGATGTTATGTTTGACATCATGTTCGACCATGACCAAACGACCATGTTTCAGTCCAGGATGGACTGAAACATGGTCGTTTCTCCATCTTCTGATGTATGGTTTGGTAATCATATCTTCATCCATGTTAATATGACTCATCGTCTGCAGGTGGACACAGATGGAAACTAAATATCCTAATACGCCACTTAGTAAATAGAAGGATTTTTTCAAGAGTCAGGATAGTGAACAAATAGAGACCATTAAGAAGTGAATCAGTGGAAGCGAACTCCAGACACAGTTTTAAATGTAGATATGACAGCCTAGTGGGCTCTGTAATCTCTATACTAGTTGGCTAAGAGTTGAGAGGCAGCTCAACTCAGCAAATCAAAAGCTCATCCCCCCCACAAATACAACTAGGAGAGTTCCTGATGCCGTACCATCTAACAATAAATAGGTCCCTGGGAGTCATGTATATGTTGTGGATTGCATACTGGAGAAGGTCAGTCATTTGCCTAGGGACCCTCCCTGATATGCTTAACAACTTTGCCCCTAATAATGGGAAACTAGATATAGTTTTAAAGCTATTTTGAAATTGCCTCAACCTCCTTTTCTTTCAGTTCTATTCATATGTGTATTACTCATACACTACAGGAGGACTTTACAGCCCTTTCACTCATTTGTGTTTTCAGTTTTGACCTGTCTTCTAATTTTATTTCTCCTTTTCAGAAACAGTGTTCTCTTATCCACTCTACAACACCATTTCCAGACCAGTGTGTACCCAATTCTTTTCTGAATCTAAACTTATTCAATTTGTATTTATTGTTTTGTGTTCTATTTTGTGTTGATATATTTAGCACCCTATTAATACCCTTGTACCTGTCATCCATATATACAATTTAATTTGTCTCCTCTTACTCATCACCTTTGTGGAGAATATTAATTAAGCTTTCTTAATCTGTGTTATAAGGGAGATTCCTATTGCCTGGGATTAACTTTGATATCTTTCTCTGCACACTTTCGAGAGAATTTATGATAATTTTACAGTGCAGTGCCCAAAACTGATCTGCAGTAACTAAATGGGCCTAATATTAAGTAGGATAGAGAAATGTGGAGAAATATCATGTTTTCAGACTGACAAAAAGTATTTAACACTATATCTGATAAAAGGCTAGTAACTGGGAAGATACTGGAATGAGTTAGAGAATGTGGCAAACAGGAATCTGGTCATTGTGTGAAAGAAACATGGGAATCTCGAGCAGGGTCCCACAGGCTTGCTCCATGGACTCTAATTTTTCTTTTATATACAGGTACTGTATATGTAAGTGACTTATCTGAGGGGTAAAATCTTACATGGTAGTGTTTCTAAATGATGATCAATTGATGAGCATGGTAATAACTGAAAAAGATTGTACAAACAACAGGAGGCTCAAGGAGCTAATTAGGAACAAAGCAGTTGGGCTCGATGGAGTCCTTGAGTTCTGAGAGAATGAACACCTCAGCTCAACACTCCAATTGATTTTCAGTCATCTTTGTGTACAGGGGGCCTTGGCAGATAAATAAAAAAAAGGCCAACATAGTTCCAGTACCAAAAAATGGTAGCAGGGAAGACCCTCTTAATTACAGACCTGTGTCATTGACAAGAGTAGTAATAAAAAATAGAGAAACTAATTATAACTAATGGGTAGAATACTTGGAGAGAAATTATGTAATAGTATGGTTTTGATCAGGAAGATAATGTGTAACAAATCTGCTTACTGTAGTTCCTTTGATAGCATCGCAGAGATTTTCCAGGAAAGAGATGGTTGATTGACTGAATTTATCTGGACCTAAAAAAAAAGTTTTCAACAGTTCTACACAAGAGGCTGTTCTGTGAACTGGAACATACTGGAGGAGTGAAGGGGAGACTTCTGATATGGATGAAAAATTTTCTGACCAAAAAATAAGGGCACAATGTATCAGACTGGAGAAATGTTGCTGGTGGAGAAGAACAGGGTTCACCTCTAGCACCAGCAATGTTCATTGTCTATATAAATAATCTTCCAGATGGAATATACAATTATATAAGCATGTTTGCTGATGAGGCCAAGCTACTAGGGAAGATAAGAAACTTAGATGATTGTCATGCCCTTCAAGAAGACCACATAAAGAACGTTGTGTGAGGAGTGTATGCTATACCTGGTTGATACCTGGTTGATGGGGTTCTGGGAGTTCTTCTACTCCCCAAGCCCGGCCCGAGGCCAGGCTTGACTTGTGAGAGTTTGGTCCACCAGGCTGTTGCTTGGAGCGGCCCGCAGGCCCACATACCCACCACAGCCCAGTTGGTCCGGCACTCCTTGGAGGAATAAATCTAGTTTCCTCTTGAAAATGTCCACGGTTGTTCCGGCAATATTTCTTATGCTTGCTGGGAGGACGTTGAATAACCGCGGACCTCTGATGTTTATACAGTGTTCTCTGATTGTGCCTATGGCACCTCTGCTCTTCACTGGTTCTATTCTACATTTTCTTCCATGTCGTTCACTCCAGTACGTTGTTATTTTACTGTGTAGATTTGGGACCTGGCCCTCCAGTATCTTCCAGGTGTATATTATTTGATATCTCTCTCGTCTTCTTTCTAGTGAGTACATTTGGAGGGCTTTGAGACGATCCCAATAGTTTAGGTGCTTCATTGCGTCTATGCGTGCCATATATGTTCTCTGTATTCCCTCTATTTCAGCAATCTCTCCTGCTCTGAAGGGGGAAGTGAGTACTGAGCAGTACTCAAGACGGGACAACACAAGTGACTTGAAGAGTACAACCATTGTGATGGGATCCCTGGATTTGAAAGTTCTCGTAATCCATCCTATCATTTTTCTGGCTGTCACAATATTTGCTTGGTTATGCTCCTTAAACGTTAGGTCGTCAGACATTATTATTCCCAAATCCTTTACATGCTGTTTTCCTACTATGGGTACATTTGATTGTGTTTTGTACTCTGTATTATGTTTAAGGTCCTCATTTTTACCGTACCTGAGTACCTGGAATTTATCACTGTTAAACATCATGTTATTTTCTGATGCCCAGTCGAAAACTTTATTAATATCAGCTTGAAGTTTTTCAATGTCCTCAGCCGAGGTAATTGTCATACTGATTTTTGTGTCATCTGCAAAGGATGATACGAAGCTGTGACTTGTATTTTTGTCTATATCTGATATGAGAATAAGGAAAAGCAGCGGTGCAAGGACTGTACCCTGAGGTACAGAGCTTTTCACTGCACTTGGACTAGATTTTATATGCTTTGTAACTTAAAATTCTCTTTTTAAATACATGGATGGCAAAATAATAAAAAAATTGTTCACAACCTTTGTGAAACTAAAGTTGAAATTTGCACTGGTTGTATGGTGCCCATACTTCAGAAGCATATCAATAAATTGAGAAAGGTGGAAAAACAGGCAACTAAATGGCTTCCGGAACTGAGAAATGAGCTACGAGGGAAGGTTAAAGGCGTTTAATATATGAAAGCTAGAAGATAGAAGAAAAAGATGTGTTATGATCACTACATACAAAATTGTAACAAGAATTGAAAAATTGACAAAGATGTTTTGAAAACTGCAACGTCAAAAACAAAAGTACGTAGGTTGGGCTGGATGGTAGAGTGGCGGTTTCACTTCATGCAGGTCGACTTTCAATCCCTGACTATCCAAGTGGTTGGACACCATTCCTTTCTCCCTGTCCTATCCCAAATCCTCATCCTAATCCCTTCCAAGCACTTTATCGTCATAATGGCTTGGCACTTTCCCCTGATAGTTCCCTTCCCTTCAAACTTCTGAATCAAAGCTACCAAAAAAATCATCAGACAGTTCACTTTTGCAAACAAAATGGTAGACGGTTGGAACGAGTTAAGTGAGGTGGTGGTGGAGGCCAAAACTGTCTGTAGTTTCAAGGCATCACATGACAAAGAGTACCGGGAAGACGGGACACCACGAGCGTAGCTCTCATCCTGTAACTACACTTAGATAATTATGAGCCCCAGCACCATTCACACCCACCAACACCACTCAAATTTGTTTTTGTGGTATGGGTTATTGCTGCAAAAGGAGCCAGGGATACCTTGCTTAAAAATATGTATGTGTCTTGATAACTGAAATCTGACTGTATACTGTGTATTCTAAGCTCAAGACCCGTTATATTGACAGGTTTTCCGTGAAGGTCGCACCAAAGCTGTGGGTCGTGTTTTGGAGGTTATCCCAAAGATTGCTTCACTTCAGCACCAGAAGAATCATAAAATTATGAAGATGGTAAAGCAGGTAAGCCTAATAGCAATGATTCATTATAGCATTTAAGTCTTAAATCACTTGTTTTAAAGTACATTTTTGAAACCCTTGCCCACCAGCCACATGAATTGTAACACACACACACACACAGTATATTTTTTTAATGTTTCGTGGTTTGACTATAGTGACACGTAGAGGTTTTGTAATAATGGGCAGTTGAAGGGGCAGGGGGAATGATGGGGAGGTGAGTGTCTGGTGCTATTGGCCATGACAATTGCCACCATGCCACAAGTGAGGAAGCAAGGAAACACGTGTATGTAATGAGGGTGGTAAACAAGGGGACTGCACTGCAAGGAAGCAATTCAAGCCACATTTATCCACAGTGCTAAGTGCAAATATGACACATTTAAACACTTAGTACCTGTAGCTATAAGGCTGGGCCTAAAGAGCTAGACCATGCTTCCCATACACATTAATAAGTAAGCACTCAAATCCAACCACCACCAAATGTATATCAACATCATCCACTCACTCACTCACCAAATTCTTATACACTTACCCACCAACTGCCCACTGCATCATTCTTCCCTCACTCTTAACCTGATTTATCACACCCACCCAACGCAACATCCAACAACATAACGTTATGCAGTGTTATGCAACATCCTCTGCATAACACTCACCAAAGTCACTGGCAACTGTATACTCACACCCTCCACTTATCCAAATCAACACCCAGCCACCATACCATCAAACATATGCTAACACCACCTTGATTCACTATATGTCCACACCTTTCATAATATTTGAACAGTATCCTTTCAAATGTCCCTGCATGGTAATACAAGTTCTATGGAGGTGTTGAAAAATGCTCAGTCGAGCTCTTTGAAGCCCAGGGAGCACCCAGTAGCTTTCTTGGTGACTGCCAGTTTACTAAGCAGACTACCAGCAGGCAGCACAACCAGCACCATAGTATTCCCTGACTCGAGGCTTCTCACAATCTTCCTGACTGGTCTTAAAGTTAATTGATTTGTGTTTATCTTTAGAAACTTTAGTTTCATTGTATATATATGAATGCTTCTTGTGTGTACTGAATACAAGTCATTTGTGTGTCTGGGCTTCTTAAAGCCTTAACGTGTGGCTTAGGATTTACAGTGCACTGCAGTACCAGATGACTGTTTTTTCCTGGTTAGAGAGCAGTGCTTTACTTTCTAGTAGGACGTAACTGCTTTTCTTTTTATCTTCAGTGCTTGAATGTTTACTGTTTACAGTGTGGTGCTGGTGGGAAAGGCCCCCTTGTTCCAGAATTTGGCCTTTTGTTACCCCCTATTTAGTTTCAAGAAGTGGCATTTTTGGCAGCTGTTGGTCCAGAATCTTATTATTATTGCAAGAACTCATTGCAGTGGACTTCGCATCACACACGTTACCCTAGCAGATGTGAAAAGTTTATTGGTCTGTGAGGAGCTCATTTCTTCCTGGCTGTTGCCTGAGTTGGCTAAGCTGAGATTATCAATGAAGTGCCAGTCTATGGTTCAGTGTAGGCAGCAGGTATAGCTATGCCCAAGGTGTTCACAACTCTCCTTCGGTTGTCATCTTTTTCTCTGAACATTATGCTTGCAAATGCACCAAGGAGTCACCATTCAGAACCCTCCCTAAAAACCGGAGTTGAATGTAATGAAACGCCTCTTTCTGATGGGTCCTTGGCTCTTTGGAACCCTCTCGTTCCATTTCTGGGAAATTGGTTTTCCATTTTTTAGTTATATGACTGAGGGTTTAAGGTTGGTGGTTCAAGGAGGAAGATGTGCAGCCCCTGGTGGTGTACAGGTGTAATGAAAGAAATAATTACTTCAGCACTTCAGCCATACTCACACGGGTTTGTGAATCTAGGGGTCTTGCTGTCCCATTTTCTGTGGTTTGTTTACCTTGTTGTAGTATGTTTTGATTCACCTTCCTTTCTGGTGCCCTATTCTTGGTTAAGGTGATTATGGGCCCCATCATATTGCTCCTCACTAGAGGGGTGTGGCAAGGTTTTGGCCTCTTGATATGTCTCACAAGGGCTTGGGGTGGATTGAATTTGGTGGAGTCTGCCAGGCAGAAAAACAAAGGAACCACCATAGACCCATAAAGAGGCATTTCAGTACATTCACTGCTTTTTTTTTAATTTTGTAATGTCTAATTCTTGTGTGTGTATACTGTATTTTGTGACAGGGGTGTTTAATAGAATTTGCAAAAAACAAAAAAACAAAAAACAAAGTTTGTTTAAATCTAGAACCAGTAACAAATCCAGTAGGCTTCTTGAGCAATATTCATTTGTCTGAATACTTTAAGTGTCACTGTTCTCCACTTCCCTTTCATGTGTTAGATTTTCCTGTGCACTGTTCTTGATTCTACATCAAGAAGAATGCAAGGAGGGTTGAGTCAATGAACCTGGTTTTGTTGTCAGTGCAGCCATAGACGGCTAAGTGATTGAACAACTCGTAGTAATGAAGAGCTCCAGTTGGTGACCCCTGTGATGATAAATAGGGTTTAAAAACAATTTAAAGTGACAATGAGTGCATTTGGAGTTCCTTCCCGGCTAAACTGATTACTGTATTCCTTCAGTCGGTTAAGCACCGTAATGCCCTGGCAGGGGTATTTGAAAGGGGGTCTGCTGCATGTTTGCAGACAGTTAGCCTGTCCTGGCTATGATTCTTCCCAATGAGATTAGAAAGACTCTTGCCTTTGGAAACCGAGTCTCTCTCCATGGTGCTTGATATATTGACTCAAAGGTTGGTTATTTTTACCTTATTATAAATAACCAACCATTAATGTTTTGCTGCTTCTGTTGCAGAAACTGTTTGTAGGCATAGAGTACTAGATTAAAGTGACTTTGTTTTTTGTTCTTACTGTATTTGTGAATGTTCAGATCAGTACATATATGATGGTTATTATTACTGTAAATTAATTATTTTAGTGTAATAAATTATGGCATATGATAATATGAGTATTTCATCACTGTCAATTTCCTGTAGAATGTTGGAGCAGGTGATGGAAGTCAGGTAAGAACAAATTTATAATCATGTTATTTTTGCATTACCAGTGCCTCATTTTTTTGTTATTATTATATTTTGTTTATAAATCACCATTGAGATTTACTTAATGATAAATTCCCCGTTGTGTGCACTTCGACCATTTTGAGTCCTTTCAGGAGGAAACTTACTACTTTATCTAGCACACCTTGTTAACACACTGCCCGAATAGTAATGGTATTTAGCATGATGCTTAAAAAATTAATTAAGGTGGTGCAAATTTTATTTTACCATTTGTTAATCAAGTGCTATTTTGTTTTATCTTGTAGAACAGCAATGTTTCTCGTTCACCTATCTTCTCTTAACATTTTACTGGAAGTAATAAGCAATATGTATAATTATAATCAATCAAAGTGGAGAGTAAGAAGAAAGAGTGTCTTGTAGATTGCAGTTCTCAGATGTAGGCTAGATTGAACATACAAATGGGTTTTATATTTGTTCCTTTGCTCTCTACAGTAGCTTCTCGGGATACATAATCCATGTTATGTACTCGTTTGTAAATGCAACAGGAATGAATTGGCAATAAGGAATGTAAGAAGTAAATGTTTCAAGACACTGTTCTGTTTAAACAAATTTAGACATGTTATTTTTTATAGGAATGAATGGACTGGATAGAATGAGAAGTGTGAAATTGAACTGATTTTGTTAGATGCGTTCATAGCAAAGTGCTCATGGTCGAAGAAAAGGCTGTTTTAGAAAGTTCCAGGCAAAACTTTGTGTACAATTAAATTCATGCTTCCATATGGTATTTTCTTGCCAAAAGTCTCGTTATTAAGATCAGCAAAGTTGCTAAATGTTTGCAGGCTATATAGATGATTTCCATTTTCTTCATTGGCTGGATAAAATTGCTAGTTTTTTCTAATCCCCCCAAGGCTGGAGTTAGTGATGGATGTGCAGCACAGAATCAGGGTGTAGCAGGAGGAAACTTTGGAGGCACTAAGAAGCAACGCAGTAGGCGAGGGGGCAAACACAGGTTAGTTAATATGTAAATGTACATAAATATTATTTGGAGAAGTAAATATTTCATGCTAGACTTGCTTATTCCTAGATACAAATTGGTTCAAGTAGAATTAGAGGGCATGACCTAATTTGTTGTTTACAGAATAATTGTTACAACCTTTACAATAGATATTTAGAGTGCAGAAGTTGATAAGCTACAAGAGTGATGAGAGTGTACCGAGGTGGTTTGGGCTAGTTGAACGAATGGATAATGTGGTCAAATACACACTTTAGAAGAGTGTGTATGTGAATATGTGCCAATGAGAGGGAAGAGTAAAGAGATGATGTGTATACTGGTGAATGAGTGTGAGGCAAAATGGGGATTGAGTGTAAACAACACTTGAAATATAGTAAGAGACTAGACTTAAGTGGAAGTGGCATATAAGGTGGGAGTGAATATATTTCCTTGTAATGTATTGTATATGACCATTCATCAGTAGTGTACATCTAGTCCTATGAAACAATTTGATGCTCTTCTGGATGATTGTAGAGTGTGATGGTGCTTGTGTGTCCATAGTGCTATATACAGAGTAAGTAGTGTTAGTGATACAGTGAATGGAAGAGGTATAGGTTTTTGAAATGTCTATTAACATTCCCACGAAAGTGGAAAATGTAGTAATGATATAAGTGGATGGTTTGCCAATGCATTTCTACACATCTACTGCATCCTAAAAAATGCTTCTGTTGAATATTTGTAATGCAGTTTAATTTCTTGAATAGCAAATGTCCTTGCTAGTTTGTTATATTCTATTAATTCAGAATATTTAAAGTTCTTATTGTAGTTACTTTTTATTTTGTCTGATATACAATAATTTGATACATGTAGACCTATGTCTTTAAATTTGTTTAATTAATTTCATGTTATAATTTAGTTTTCTGAGCTTAGCCACTCTATTGCTCCTGATAGCAAAGACCCTCCAGGTGTGAGGATAGGTCTGCATTGTGAAGGGAGGTTGACATGCTATTCAGCACAGCAAGGATCTTTTCAAGCTCCCTGCCGTATTGTGCTAATGTTCGGTAGACACTGGAGATGACTAAAATTATCTCATTGTTGAACTGACTTGCCTCCATATTGGTTGTTAGTCAGTGATAGACTAGTGTTTGTCCTTCAAAAAATTGTTTTGTTGTGCAGTGGGCTTATGCCTTCAGTGACTGCTTCTCATGTGCATGTATGCAAGGCATTTATTTTTCTTCATGGTGAAACTGACTGGCTTATCAGAGTATCATCTCTGTTCTAGCTTAGTTTGTGCGCTTTAGATATGCGATTACTCGATACTTGGCTCCTTGGACATAGCATAGGCAGTTGTGCTGTTGCACAGGATAGTCAGTCAGTTACAGTGCCACTTGCGAACTTAAAAGCCAAGGCCAGGTACCTGCGATACTCTCATTCAATGGAGCATACCATAATCAAATATCTGGTAAATATTGAAGCACATTGCTGCTAAATGCAGTGAAAAAGAGTACACAAGTCTCTCAAACTCTCGCCACTTAAAAGTTATGGAAAAGCACCTACCAAAACAAAACCCTGACAAATACTTAAATGCACCCGATGATTCTTGCCTATCTGTGACAGGTGGTAAGCCTGTGCACTCTTGGCTCTGTTTGGTCAGGCAACATTGTCAGTATCGTAGGATACACACACACACATACACACAAAAAGCTGTATGTTTAATAGTCTGCTGAACCATAGGTTCTATGTATGGTTTATGTCTATTGATGGTTCACAAATGTGTCATGTTCCTATTGTTTGTGTTTCAGGGACCTATTTCCTGGTGCTGTTGGCAAAGACTGTTGTCCACCATTTATCCTTTTTTTTCCTTCTTTTCTCTGAGAAGTACAGTTTCTCTTTGGAGTCGACTTCAGTTTGGGTAGTTCTTTGGAAAGATCACTGTGTGAGACCTGTGCCTGAAAAGTTCATGAAATTAGTAGATAGAGTTTACCGTGATCGTTGTTTGGCTTGTTCAGGTGTTACAGTATTGTTCTAAGGGCCTGGTTTGATATGAACTAAGTGCAGAGCTAACCAGGTAGCAACAGTCACCGAAGACCCACCAGTAAATGGCGTTTCATTACATTCAGCACTAGTTTATTCGTTCAATTTCAATTTTACCATGTTCTTTGTATATCATTGAATATTTTGTTACCATATTTTAATTAAGATTTCAACACTGTTAATTAGGTCGCGTGGTAGCAACAGTACCATGTCTGGCAGTTCAGGACTCCAAAGCCCTTTGAAACTGGGAGGGGCCAGTTCTGTGCCAGCACCTGTTTCCAGTCCCACTTCTTCAGCATCAGGCATTGTCCACATTGCTGCCTCTGGAACAAGTACATCCAACGTCCACCCTCGACCAGACAACATCACATCACCACCATTGGTAACAACACAGGTTTCAGTGTAATCAACTGTATTACCTTTTCTTTTCTATTATTTAATAAAATTTTATGTCACGGTTCGCAGAGCTCAGCTCTGAATAAGATCTCACTCAAGCAGGAGTCTTGATTTGTAATATAGATGCAGTGATATTATCCTTTTTTTCTCCATTTTTATATTACTGGTATTCTTATGAAAATACCGATGTTATCTGAATGTTGTTTTTTTATGACATTTTCAAGATAAATTACTCAATCCCTAAATATAATAACTACAGTACTACGCAAGAATATTTTGTATAGTAAATCCTTTTATAATATGTGGGTTTAACTAAACATCCATTTGACGATAAAAGAAAAAATATGTTTCTCTCAAACATAATTGTCTTGTAATATATAGCATATGCTGGTTTCATATGCCAGAAATAAGACAAAGGCTTTACTATGCAATTACTTGATTTTTCTGTCGCTTGAGTAAAATATTTTTTTATTCAAGTAAACGTTTCTCAAAACTTATTACCAACACGTAGTCAGTCTTAAAAAATAATTAATGGGTAATTGGTTGTTAATGTTTTGATCCTGCAGCCTAAAACAAATATGTAACATACACTGCTCTCCTAGCTTACTAGTTTGGCACCTTAGGGTCATGACAGACTCGCCAAGCTTCTGTGACAATATCTGGCATCTAGGAGCACATGCCATTTTATACCAAACTTGTTTTTTGTTTCAACTTGTTGATAGGAAGCATGTAAGAATCAAAGCTTGATCCACTGCAGAAATGAACTGCTTTTAAATAAAAGTCTCTCAAAAAGTTGCATACAAAAACTCTGCATACCTCAGCTACTGTTCATGTTGGGTTCAGGGACTGCTTCACTTTCTGGTATTTGATATATGGATTTTTGTTTTGATTGACCCTCCCTTTCCCCCCTCCCTCCCCCCCTCTCATGTAGGTGGCCACCTGTGTTCATGTGGGTTTTTATCCGTGAAGTTCCTCTGGGGTTGCTGCAGTGTGCATTGTATACATTGTGGTTTAATTTTCTCTTTTCCAACTTTTCCTCCATTTTTACATGCAAAGACCAGTCATGTCAGCTGCTTGGTGTGATTATTTATTCTCTAGGCTGGCCCTATAATACCATGTTAGGCTTGCCCTTTACATGGCCAGCCCCATTACTTGGTGTGCTGGTCTGCAGCTCTGCGATACATGCATGGGTATATAGAGGTAGAAAATCGATGTGGGCCGAGATTATCACATTATCACTGAAACCTGGCATGTCTGTTGTTGCCCTAGGGTAGGAGCTATTGAGCTGCCACCCAGAAAGGGGCATTCCATAACATTCAGCACATTATTTTTTAAGATTGATTCTCAAGCAATGAGGATTTCTCAAGCAATGAGGATTCATAATAAAGCGACTCTCTGTATTGCTTCATTGTGACCTTCAGTTTAGAATATGGCACATTCGTTTTTGGATTTAGAATTTTAATTTGTGCAACTTGAATATATCATGTGCATAGTTTCACATTACTCCCTACATGTTAACATATGGATTTCTCCAGCTGAACCTCTAAACAGTGAATAAGCAAAGATTGTATAGGAAGTTAGTGTGTTTGTTTTTATTTCCAGTGAATAAGCAGTACATTATAAGTAGACTTACCATATTTTAATGTGAAGAAATAGGTATCCCCCAGTCATCATTGGCACATCTGGATCAGATTACAGAGAAACTGGCATACATTAGAATTTCATGACCGATATAATCACTAATATGCATTTCGTGCTGTGGGAAAAAAACAGAAAAGAAAAATTATATTTAACTAAGAGCCATGTATAATGGAAAGACACATTTGACCATGTAGAGCTATTGGTGATTTAAGCTTTTAGTTTCCACAGCATTGTATAGTGATGATTGAACTGACTTGATCTACTTGCTTCAATGTTTCTTTTGTTAAAGAAGTTATGAGCATTGTAATAATTTCTTTGGTGGAAATGCTAGTTTATGTCAGAATTAAACTGACACCCTCATGTATAGATAGTGAATATCATGTAAAACGGATAGATCGCCTCAATCAACATGAAATATATACTGTAATTAGCGTGTTTCATCAATACACATCAGATATTTGAATGCGTGTATTGTGACACACTGTATCGGTGGTGAAGAGCTAATATCTTGCCCAAGTTAAGAGGACTGCGTTAGATAACTCGGTGCCTGACATCTTAATGCCAACATGTGTTATCCTGTTTCATTAATATCTTCTGGTGTTTCAAGTTGGAACTGTAGGGTTACTAATGGATAATAATATTGCAATGGCAAAGATCAGTAGTGGGCATGTTGTAGGCACATGGTTGTCTCCCACAATATAAAAAGACCGGCAGTATTTTTAAGTAACAGTATGCAAATATTGGATATCTAATTTTCTCAATAAAATTAATTTTAGATTGAATATCGATATATTTTTCTTTGTTTTTAAGAAAGTATACACATATGTAAGTATTTCCATATTTTATTTTTTGGGTGGCTAACATGGCTCGTTTGATTATTGAAGAGCTGATGATAGCGAGTGCGATAATAGAAGTATACACATCACATAATGGATTATGCTTGAATAATATGAATTATATTTGATGTCATTGCTCCCAATTTGTATTTTTAGGGCAAGCTACATACCAAAAACAAAAAAAAACAAAAACAGAGTATATTAAGAAATAGTATATTTTCATTAGGCATCCGAGATGTTTTGAAATGTATTTTGGGTCCTGGCAAGACAGAAATATTGCCCGAAACATATTAAAAATTGGACATATTGTACTTCAGATTTTGTTCAGTATCTGGAATTTGAAATTTGTCTTTTCCATCTCAAATGATAATTAATTTAATGTTTATTCCTGATGTCAAAGTTATATTACACTGAAGGCCATTAAGATAGTAAACTGGTCTAGTCTTTTTATTGTCTTGTGTTAAAAACAATACAAAAAAAAATCATAAAACACCTTCATTTAGTGTTTTATGAGGCATGTTTAAGAAAGAAATTTTACTTAAAAAAAAAAAAAAATTGTAAAAATAAAATACATATTATTCAAATACTGGAATTTTGACAAAGTAAAGGATAAGTACTGTATTAACATTAGCGAGTGAAATATTTGGAAATGTGGCGAACTGCAGCACAGTGCGATGTTGTAGGTTCTTCTGCTATGATTTAAGTTGTGTATAGCTCGCATGTGCTGTGTAAAGTAGGACAGATGAAAATGTACAATTTTATAGAAAATGAGCATAAATAAAATTTAGTACAAAGTAAACACACAAATTCTGTACATTCTTATCTGAGATTGGCAAGTGTCAGTGAAATTGAAAGAAAATATATTTAGCACATCTTAAAGCTGAATTTTAGTAAAATGAACATAACTAACCATGAGTACAATGTGAAACAGAACTATTCTATACTTTAGTCAGAAACCAAGTTGAAATTTAGTACAACCTGTAACAAGTTTAGTACAACTCTGATAACGTAATTTAGTACAATCAGAAACTGAATTGAAGTCCATTTTTCTCTTAAAATACATATGACTAAAACTAAATTATTTTTCTTTATTGTAACTTTGTAATACCTGTGTAATAATGTATCTTAAATGATTGTTGTAATTTTTATTGTACTAGACAGAGTAAAACAGTTATTCAAGCATACTGTACTTTGTGAGGAATTGTAGGCCCTTGATGTGAGTGAGTGTGAGAGTGTGTGTGAGTGAGTGAGTGAGTGTGTGAGTGAGTGAGTGAGCGAGTGAGTGGTAGATTGATAATGTTGGAGTTACTTCTCATTTTGAGGCTACAAGGTAGAGCTGTGATTTGACGTTATGACATTCACATAGCTGTGTGCACATCAATAATTTCAACTCCGATTATTTGTCCAAAGTGAGTGTATAACATTATAAAGAAATGGTTTAGGAATGAAACTTTTTATCCTGCTTTTGTATAGGTGTATGAAGCTTTGTGTCATGGTACCTTTTTTGTTAATACTGGTAAACTGTAGACATTGCAATGGAAGGTTGTCAATTGTGATAAAATACATTAGATATTTTAAACACTTTGCGAGTGTATTTTTTTCCTGCGGGGTGTACTAATTAACAATGTTAAGATTTCAGCATATACGTGGTTTTTCAAGGAGAGAAAATCTTTCATAGGAAAAGTGAGTTAACAGCATTTATAGTAACCTATTATGCCAGAAATCAGTTATTTACTTGTTTTAAGACAAGTTCTTCAAAATATGTAAATACTACTATTGTTGACTTTGGTCTTGCCAACCTAGTGTTTGGCAAATCTATTCATTTCTATAGTAACATATGGAAAAGTTTATTAATCCTTAAACTGCTCCTGGCACCCTCGAGTAATAGGATTAGATGTGTCCTGTAATATTAAAGTCTCGCCGATTCTAGATGACGCTGATGAGCAAAGTGAAAATAGATGAGGACTGCAGGAAGTTAGAAGAGGAGCTTGAGAAACTCCAGGAGTGGGCAAACAAATGGTTTGGTGGAATTCAAACCCAACGAGTGGAAGTTAATGATAGCTTCTGATCTCCTTTCAGCCTTACCTATTTACACCACAAGGGAAAGGTAACTATATAGGTTGTAAAGAGAAATATTTGAGACAGGATATAATTCCAACACTAACATCAGAGGTGCGAACACACAAGCAGGATAACAGCAGCAGCAGATAGCATATTTCATTTGAAGTATTGATTAGAATCCTAAATCAGTTTTTTCTCCTCTCCAAGGCAATCTACACATCCTTTGTTTGGTAGAACACAAGATAAAAACTTAGAATTTTCAAAGAAAAAGAGTATAAAGAGGAAAATAAGCAATATGATCTAAACGTAAAAGATAAAGACAAAACAGACACTCTTCAATAGCTAAATGACAACAAAATGAGACAAATGTAAGGAAATATTTGCATATAGTGAGTGGTAAAGAAATACCCTTGGGCCAGATGTGGTGGAAGTGACCACCATTCACAGCTCTTAAGAGAAAGTATGACCAAAACACTGACACATCGGAAGGTATAAACGCATCAGATACGCAGAGTTTCCTAGAGCTGGAGCTCACCCTCCCCTACCCCCCCCCATTATAGAAAGAAATGAGAAACTTTGAAACATGTCAGATACAAAAGCAGAGAAATTGATGTAACGATGACCAGATTAAGGCTGGGACACACCAAACTGGCAGCACACAGTTCTTAAGTACAGAACAGACATCAATGAACTCTGCAGCCACTGAAGTGTCAGGTGCCTAAAACAATCGAACACTATCTCCTTCACTGCTTTCGACATCATAGTGCCAGAGTAAATTTCAAACGAGTATTTATCACACTTAAAATACCCTTTACCATCGAGCATATATTAGTAGGTGGTGACCACCCGTTGCAGGAAAAATCCCAAATAGTCAAAGCACTGGCTAAATATCTCTAGTTGACCAACAAATTGGGCCACATCTGACCAGTGCCACATTTATACCTGGCACCACCAACCTCTGTAAACAGAGGTAACCTCTGTTTAGTCACCGCTCCTCTATCTACACCACAACGTTGAGTTAGTATAGTTCATTTATTATGCACCCCATATCCATCTTGTGGGCGATAGTGGAAAGGGTTACAGAGGCACATAATGGGCTCAGGGACTGAACCTCACAATTCATTTAGCTAAGCAAGTTACAATCTTGATGAGCTAGTTACAAAATTCAATATAAGTCGTCACATCAACAATGGGTTCGAGATCGACCTCAAGTACAGGTTCTAAATTAAGCAACTGACAAATTTTGACACTAGCTCTCCACATATGTTTGTCCTGCACACCGCCCCCCATCCAGTGGGCAGCGGTGGATAGGTTACAATCACTCAGTGACCTACAGTTAGCAAACTGGGGATATTTGACTAAAATTTCTGGTAGCAGATCATTTTGAATGAAATATTTACACATCGTTGGAACATTGGTTACCGCAACAAGCACTTTTGAAACTCTTATCATCCTCAACATAAACTCGTCTCCCAACATCTATACTGGTGCGGTCATCGAGAGGACAAACCCTTCATGCAAACTGCACCTACTATCAAAAAGAAAAAGAACACACCTAGTCAAGCCCAACAAGGTTTGCACACGCCAAGGTTTGCAAACCATTTAAGTAATTCAATACCAATCGAGTCTCGGGACCAAAGAGCCAAAGCTCAACTCCCGCAAGCACAACTAGGTTTGCACACAACACGGGAGCCTGAAGAGGGCCGACGGAGGGGCCGCCATTACGGAAGATGATTAACAGTCTTAAGTGCACCTGAAGGAAAGGCTGTAAAAACGGTCCTGGGACATGCGAGACGCTCATAGTCTGGGCTACAATGTTCGGGTGATGGCCACCAATAGCCCCGCTCCAACCCACAGGAAATCGTAAAAAATTATATGAAAAATTCCGAAAAGTGCCTGTTAGGGGAAGGGAGACCTTTACCATTATATAAGTGACCCGCCAACGACCTAATGATGAGACCGAGTAGTGTTGACATTATGTTGGGCGAGAATCTATATATACATAATGCATATATCTTTACACACACGAACATGCATGTTTATTATTATTTATGCAAACGACTTTCTTCGGTAAAACTTCCTCATGTCAACATAAAAGACATAGAACTACTGAGGTGAATGAGAGCAGAATGAAATATTAGTTAAAAAAATTAAACATTTAAACAAACACAAGGGAAAGTAATCAAACATACACCACAAACACTGCCACCAACACACACACACACACACATGGATGGATGGAGAAATACTAAAGAAATTGTTCACGACTTTTGTTAGACCAAAGCTGGAATATGCAGCGGTTGTATGGTGCCCATATCTTAAGAAGAACATCAACCAACTGGAAAAGGTGCAACGACATGCCACTAAGTGGCTCCCAGAACTGAAAGGCAAGAGCTACGAGGAGAGGTTAGAGGCATTAAATATGCAAAAACTAGAAGATACAAGAAAGAGGCGATATGATCACTACGTACAAAATAGTAACAGGAATAGATAAAATTGATAGGGAAGAATTCCCGAGACCCGGAACTTCAAGAACAAGGTCATAGATTTAAACTAACGAAACAAAGCTGCCGGAGAAATATAAGAAAATTAACTTTTATAAACAGAGTGGTAGTCGGTTGGAACAAGTTAGGTGAGAAGGTGGTGGAGGCCAAAACCGTCAGTAATTTCAAAGCGTTATATGACAGAGTGCTGAGAAGACGGGACACCACGAGCGTAGCTCTCATCCTGTAACTACACTTAGGTCAATACATACACACTAGACAAGGAACACGAGAAGTCGACAGAGCCGCAGAGGCTGTGAATGCTATAAAACCACATACCTTCCCGTGGACTACTTCAACAGCTTCCACGGAAACCCCGCCCTCAACCACTGTAAAGTACACCTCAACCCACCAGCCAGGTAATCCAAAAGCTGTACTACTGACAATCTCATATTGTATATATATATATATATTGTCTGCCAGCAAAATCGCCATCGTGTGTCTCCTATTACACCCAGGGAAATAGAACGTCAAAGAACGTAGCAGGTTTAGTCGTGGAGACGGCCCAACACCCTCCATAATAACCTGCAGCCATCTCACATAACCTCTCCACCTCTCGCAGAAATAAACATATGCAACTGATCCTCGTCGCAAGAATGCAAACAGCCATCCGATTATATAAGATTCAGTGTATGTAATCGGACGTTATCAGCCAGTAATGCATGCATATAGAAACACTACCTCAGGCACCATTGGCTCTAAAAACCAGACGTTTACGAACAAATCCACAAGGGCCGTGACGAGGATTCGAACCTGCGTCCGAGAACATCCCATACGTTTACATTACCCTAACCGACAAGCCAATCCAAACATGAGCACAACTCAACGCGATGATGGGAACCATCAACCAGTAAACAACAACACTGTTTCATGGTCTATAACCAGACCGTCGACAGACCATTATAAGTACTTCAATACCAATCGAGTAGTACGTAGAGGGGGGTGGGGGGACATGTCACATCACCCACGAACGAGGCATCTAACAAAAAAGTGACCTGCCTGGCACACTGGGAGCGACATAGCGGCGAAACAAAATACTTATCACAAAACCCACCGAAACGTAAATTAAAAAAAAAAAATTGAGGCAGCCTTCCAGTACACATCCGCCAAACCGTGTCCACCGGAAGAACGACACAGCGAGATCATCCTCACTGGGGCATACCCGCCCTTTCACATAAATCTACTAATAACTCTATACAGGGCCTTCGCTATACCCTTCCCCAACGGAAGGGTATGGCGAAGTCTGTACACAGTACCATACCTTTGACAACCCGTAAGCTGATCACGAGCGCCCTCTGGTAGATCGTCAACTTTCTAGACGACATCATCCCGATTTGCACAAGCACTTATCTCTGCACTTATAGACGCACCCTCACCCCCCTCCCTCCCCTAGTTCCCTCAACCCTACCAGCCAGAAATTACACGAAATAATTTCTTCAAAACATTCACCACAGCATCCGCATTACAATGCAATTGCTCTAACCTACTTCAGAGACACATTAATCAACCCAAACCGGTCCGCAGCCACCCCTCTTAGAATGAATTTGAATGTATTTCCTACATTTAATCTTAACCCAATCCCAGCAATCCTACACTAGCAAACTCAACCTTCCTACCTCTCAGCCCCTCCCATAAAATTCCAAGCACCTCACGGACCTGCATACATTCAACAATTCACAGTTCAGTTCCACCAACCACGTCCACCGTCAACCAAACCACTCCCGTTCCTACCAGCACCAAATAATGATCTGAAAAGCTAACTGGCACGGCCTTAACCTCCTACGACGAACGATGAACAAAGTCAATCCAATCTTATTGCATTCGTCTGTGAATGATGCGTGAACGCCACCATCTTCGGTCGTGCCAAAGCCCCTTCTCGAAAACCCCACAGCTTTAGGAATTGCAACAAAGCCTTCGAGACATAAGCAGCATTCCACTCTTCCCTCATATCATGCACATCGGTCACACAAAATGACCACC